TTCAGTCAGCATACTAGGCTTAGTTTCTTTGGCTTGTTTTCATCCTCCTTGGACAATTCTGGGAGTGTGGAGGAAGGGCGGGGAAATCAGTCACAGGAAGTCAAGAAGAACAGTGTAGCAGGTTGCCTGCTGTCCATACTGGGGTGGGGGGAGGGTTCATACCTGCCTTTCTTCATGTAAATCAGACACAAGCTGGGGTCCCTCACTGCAGAGCACAATGCACAGAACAAGATCTGGAACCTCAGCATGTCAAAGCCTTCTGTAGTCATTCTATGTAAGTAAGAATAAGATTGGCTAAGATGTTGATCACCTTTTTGTAGTCAGCGAGGATGGCATCTTGCTGAGGATTCCTGACTTGGAGTTGGGACTGGGCAGTGTCCTCACGCATAAAAGGCCTTGCCTTGTGTGACAATGCCTTATGAAGCACTGTTTCATGGTTACTTTTACTTCCTGAATAAAGATTATCAGGTAATTAATATTTTCATTGAGATGCTTTTGTGAGTCTGAGTTTGTATGTATGTATATCTGTGTATGGTGCTGGACATTGAACCCAAGGCCATGTGCATGCTAGGCAAGTACTGTATTAGTACACTGTACCCCTAGCCTGTGTGTGAATTTCTAAAACTAATTGTTAAAGCTGGGCACTCTTGGGCCAGGGATGTAGTGCAGTGGTTCTGCTGCCTGCCTTGCAAGCGCAAGGTCCCAAGTTCAATCCCCAGTACCAAAAAAAAAGCTGGGCACTCTAAGAGGCTGAGGCAGGAGGATCCATAAGTTTGAGCACAGCCTGGGCAACTCAGCAATTCAGTGATACCCTGTTGCAAAATAAAGAAAGAAAAGAAAAGGGCTCGGGCTGTAGCTCAGTGAGATGGTTCAGGGTTCACACCCCAGTACCAAAACCCAAAAAGTAATAGAATAAAGCAAAGTCCATGAATCTGCCCTGCAGTAACTGTGAAAGCTGCTGGCCCTTTGGTGCTTACAGACACTGACCCGTTCCTGTCCACTCCAGTCACAGTGTTTGAATCAAGTTTCCTACTGCCTCACTGGTCAAGAGGAGTAGACAGAAAAAGTTTTGATAGAAATCAGAGTGCTCTACGATAGGACCCAAAGAAAAGTGTGCAGGCTTTGGGCTCACAGTTGTGTTGTCTTGGTCGCTGCACTTGCAGCTGCCTGGCCTTGGATTTGATAGGAGCTTTGTGCCCCTCAGTGATACGAAGAAACTCCGTCTGCAGGTATTTATGAGCCTTAAATGAGCGCCTGTTAATGAAGCTCGACAACCGAGAGCTCAGCACACATTAATCACCCACATCCACTTTCCTGAGTGTGTGTGCACACTTGTGTGTACCACTGAGGCCTCCCTCCTGTTCTAGACAGCTGCCTGTAAAGCTGGCAGTGAATTGGTACTGACAGGAGCCTCTCCTCAGAGGTTTGATGAATGAATGGTGATGGTGGATTGGGGATCCTCTTGGGTTTTTACTGTGTGCTTTCTCCCTCTAGTGGCCAGCTGTGGAATTTTCATGGAACCCAAGCTCCCGGTAGGATGCAGTGTCTGGGTTTTAACCCTTGTGTGGAGTCTTGTGTATGTGTTTCTCCTCCAGGTCAGAAATAATTCCTGCTTTTTAATCTGCAGTTTAAAAGACAAGCTGCAGCATAACAGTGGTAGTCCTTTTAAACAATGACACCAAAATACTTCTTTACAATACTAAAGTATAACACTCCAAATCTCTGTCCTGCTTTCACCTAGAATACTTAAAAGGTGTGAGTCTTTGTCTAAAGACTCACACTACATTTTAAATCTACTGCCAAAATACAATGGAAATATAAAACCTATTTACTGTCAGACATTGTACCACATTCCTGTCATTTCAGCACTTAGGAGGCTGAGGCAGGAGGATTGTGAATTTGAGGTCACTCTGGACTACACAGTGAGACCTGTCTCAAAAAAAAAAAAAGAAAAGAAGAATCAAAACCGAAAAACAAAACAAAACCTTTTTTTATTCCTGTAATAACATTTCCATAACAGTGATGAGTCTGTAATAAGGAAACTGGTATGTCCTGAAATTTAAAAAGTGATTTATTTGCTTGAGGGTCAGAGAACAGCAGATCTCAGGATTTTAAAAAAATGCTTAGAAGGGCCAGGGATTTAGCTCTGGTTCTGCTGCCTGCCTCGAAAGCGCAAGGTCCTGAGTTTGATCCCCAGTACCAAAAAAAAAATTGCTTAGAAAAACTATCCAAATTTCTGATCAAGAGTCAGTGTGGTGGTACATTTGGGAGGCTGAGGCAGGAGGATTGTCATGTCAAGGCCAGCCTGAGCAGTCACCTGGCAAAAACTGCTCCTACTCAGCCAGTATAGGCAACAAAGGCAAATAATAAATCAAGGATATTAGTTTTATCTAGAGAATAAGATATTCACTCAGATCATAGAGAATCAAGTCCTAAATGGAAAAATAGAGGAAAGTATGAATTTAATTGTAAAAATGGAAGATTAATGATCAGCTTCTCAGTATGAAGATAGGATGAAATGCCAAGAAAGTCTGAAGAATACTTACTATAATTTTCAGGTAATGATGTTAACCTAAAAGAACAAGCAAAGGTTATCAAAGAGCTCATATTTTTCCAAAATTCATGATGAAGCAAATATGATAGGACATTATCTGTTGTCAAATCTGCATGGTGGGTCCTTAGGTGTCACCCAACTTCTCTATATGTGGGATATTTCCATCAGTTAACAAAAGTTATGATGGGTCATTTAGCTTCTCAAGAGCTATACATACTTGGACCTCAGTTCATTTTGGAAATCCTTTTTTTAAACATTCTAAAATAGCTAATTTAGAGTATTTTAATAACAAAACTCAAAGGATTGAATATGCTTAGTGTGTAATACCCACGTGATGGAAAATACACTGTTTTAAAATAAGCCTAATGCAATCAATGGGATAATGTTATGTGGAAATGGCAGAATATAGTGGTAGTGATTAGAACTACACAAAATACTTTTTAATTTTATTATTATTATTATTTTGCGTTTTTTGAGACAGGGTGGTGTGCAGGGATCTTCTTGTCTCAGCCTCCCAAGTACTGGGATTACAGGTGTGTACCACCGTGCCTGACTCTACCTTTAAGTCCCTTAATTTAATATCCGCTTGATAGATGAGGAAATAGGCTTAGTACAAAGTACCTTTCCAGAATCACACTGACTTTCAAAATCTTATTGGTATTTCAAGAACCAGCTTAAGTCTCACCCACAGCCAGATGTGTTAAGGTTAGTCCATCAGATGATTATCTGGCTTCTCAGCATCCAGCCCAAGCTTGGCAAACTTGGCAGAAGCCCAGTTGTGTGTATAAATACGTGTGCACGCTGTACTGGTGATTGAACCCAGGGAGTGCTAAGCTACATCCCCAGGCCTTTTTATTTATAGACAAGGTCTCAAGTTGCTCAGACTGGCCTCGAACTTTAGGTCCTCCTGCCTCAGCCTCCCAAGTAGCTGTAATTATAGGTGTATACCCATAATGGACCATGCCTGGCCAGAAGTCCAATTAATACTCAGTCTAATTCACAGACAATCAGAACATGTTGGAGGATCAGGACTGGCCAGAATGCTACATGGTAGCTCAATGATGACAGGACATTTGGAGGAGTTTATTGGTAGAAGGGCTCTGATTTTGAAAAGGAAGTGAAGGGCTGCTTGCCAAAGACCGGCTGAACTTGGGTGCAAGTGAAGTTTGGAAGAATGCACTTCTGTGTATGCAGAAAAACACCCAAGACACCCCACACCTGGGAGGTGTCCTCCATTTCCAGAATTTGCAACACCTAATGAGATACCCTCGCCTAAGAATACACAACAGACCTTGCAATCTTTACATTCATTTCGTGAGCTTCCCTGGGACTTAACCTCTTTTCTCCATCCCAACTCCTGCCATTACACTGCATAACTTCTATCCAACCCTTCGCCTCTCAGTCCCACCACCTACTTTTGATATTTGTTTAATAGTTATTCATTCATCAAGTGTTGAGCAAGTGCCTATAATATGCGGTATTACATGCACTGCAGCAAACAAGTGGACAGCTCATCTAACACATATATCTGGGCGGAGGATTTGCCCCAGTGGCGCCGACGCCTGCCTCACAAATGCAAGGTCCTGAGTTTGATCCCCGGTACCAATAATAATAATAATAACAACAACAACAACACATATAGTGATTAAGTGCAATACAGAAAACTAAAGCCATGTAAGGGACCGGACCTGGCTGTGCGTTTTCTGTAAGGCGGTGGGGAAAAGACTGAGGCAGGGATATGAACCAAGGCCTGAATGCAGAGACAGAAATACCTGAAGGGGTAATGTCCTTGGAAGAGGAGACAGTGTAAAAGTCCTGGGGTGGGAATGAGCTTGATGAAGGGGACAGGAGGCACTGGAGTGGAGGGAGAGTAGTGACTAACCCGGCGGGACAGATAAACACGCAAATACGAGCTTCTAACGTGTGACTGTCAGAGAAAGGCTTCTGAGAGGGGCTGGAAGATCAGCCCTGCAAGGTCCTAGGCAGGGAGGAGAACAGTTCAGGCAGGAAGTGAGAGCGGGTCAGATCAGGGCGGTTAAGGTGTGCAGAGAAGTGGTCGGACCCTATCCGGTCAAGGGTGGGGTGCAGTTTCAGACCCTTAACTTGAGGAGGATCCCAACGCGAGAATCCTACAGCCGAGACCACAGATGGCGGGAGGGAACGTGGGAATATTATCCCATGCTTGGAAGTCCCAGTAACCCAGGCATAAGTTCCAGACCCACCATTAGTAGCTGGGGTTCTCTGGGATAGCACTCCTTCTGGGCTTTTAGAATGAATTATTCTATAAAATATCCATAAAATAGAAATATTACTAGGGCCGAGTTTACAGAGCCACAAACAGGAAATAAAGCCAGCCAGCGGTTTCCGGGGAATCAGACTGTTTACGCAGGCGCACAGGGCGCTGGTGGCGGCGACCAGGGCGTCAATTAGGCAGGCCGCGGTTTTAGAATGCGCGTGCGCGCGGCTCCGCCGTCAGGCGCGCCTGCGCGGGGTCGCGGTTTCGTTTACGGGCGGAGTCCGGGGGCTTCAGGGTGTGGGTAGCAAGTGGCGAACGGGCTGCCTGAAGCCCCGCAGCGGGCCTTGCGCGATGCCGGGGATGGTGCTCTTCGGCCGGCGCTGGGCCATTGCCAGTGACGACTTAGTCTTCCCGGGGTTCTTCGAACTGTTCCTGAGAGTGCTTTGGTAAGGGGAGGGTCTGGACGGCGCCGAGGCGAGGCGGGGGTGAGGTGGGGTGGGGTGCTGTTGCTGCCCCCTGAGGCGCTGACAAAAGTTGCCAACCTCCGAGCGCCGCCGCAGTCCTGGCACTCGCTATACATTTCCGTGTTTAGTGCTCACCCCCGACCCAGGAGGTTGGGTGCTGTTCCTGTCTTCATTTTACAAATGGCAAACTGAGGCCTGAAGAGGGGAGGGAATGCCTGGGGTCACTCGGTGGCTGTGACGTCCGCAGTGCCTGGCACCGAGAGGCAAGGACCTCATTGCAGACCAAAAGCGGTCGCCTCGAGCTCGCCTTCCTCCGGCCGTGTTCAGCGTGGAAGAGCAAAGCACTTGCCTCAGCAAAAGTTGGGAAATGCCTATAATCCTTAGTACTGTGGGAGGCTGAGGCAGGAAGATTGGAAGTTCCAACCCTGCTGGGTAATTTAGCGCTAGACCCTCTTTCAGAAATAAATAGCTGGGTGTGTAGCTTAGTGCAAAGTCGCTGGGTTCAATACCTGCGCTGTTGTCTTTCAAAATGTGGAATTAGGGCCAGGGATTTAGCTCAGTGGTTTCGCCGCCTGCTGCGCAAGCGCAAGGACCCAAGTTCCATCCCCAGTACCAAAAAAAAAAAGTTGGAAAGCAGTACCCTTACTAACAATCGTGTTTGAAGCCAGTTCCCTGGGGGCTGGAGCAAGGGATAATATCCTTGTTATGCAAAAGTAGATTCTTGCTAGGAAAGGAATGTAAAGTTTTGAGCTGCTTCCTAGGAGTTTTCTTTGTCTTTAGGGCCACGATTTTAGAGATCATTTCCCTGTTATTTCTAGACTTAGAGTCCTGATATCACAAAATCGACAAAAATATTCACAAAAAATTTTTTCCTTTCCGGTGGTGTTAGGACTTGAGCCCTAGAGCCGCACACAAGTGCTCCACCACTGAGCTAAACTCCCCAGGACCCAGTGCCTCTGCTTAAGCTTCCGGGCTTGAATCCTTAATAAGGTGACCTTTCCATATCCAGCACTCTGTCCTCTGCTGAAATAAGGAAGAATCAGTCATTTTTGCTTTGTGTTGGACACTGTGCTTCATTGGTCTGCGCTGAATTGCAAAATGTAGTTTGAACGCCACAGGACTTCTTTCAACTTTATCTGCTCACCATGGAACATCTGTGTATCACTTCCCTCCCTCTTGGTTTTTAATTACAGACAGCAGATTACAGTGTGAGCTTATTAGTTTCTTTTAATCTACAGATGTAAAAATTTTCTAGTTAGTTGCATGTTTCTGAGTTGTACTGGGCTATTTTCCAGCAACTCACATTATATTTGCTTGTTTGCAGTTTTAGGTGGATTATAGCCAGCATAGAAAAAGAATGATAGAAGCATGGAAAGTATAAAACATTTAAAAAAAGAAAACCATACTCTTTACTTGACTTAGTATATCTTTTATTGAAAGAGTTATAAAAACATTTATATCAAATATAAGAATATAAAAATTACATTCATGCCAGGCATGGTGATGCATACTTGTAATCCCAACACTCTGGGAGGCTGAGGTCGGAGAGTTGCAGGTTCAAGCCCAGCCTGAGCAATCTAGCGTGACAGCATCTCAAAATAAAAAATTTAAAAAAGGGCTGAGTGCTTAGCTTAGTGCCAAGGCCCTAGGTTCAATCCCTAGTAACATTAAGGAAGAACCATGTTTTTTTCCAGAATATATATATATTTACCTCATTTTGGAAGATATTAACTCTCTTTATGTCTTTATATCATGTTTTACAAAGCAGCACCTTGGATTTTTTTTTTTTTTTTTTAACGATGCTGGGGGTTGAACCCAGGGCTTCATGCATGCTAGGCAAGTGCTCTACCACTGTGCTGTACCCCAGCCCCTGGATTCCATTTCTGACCCTCCCTGTCTCTCCACAGGTGGATTGGCATTCTGACTTTGTATGTCATGCACAGAGGGAAGTTGGACTGTGCTGGTGGAGTCCTGCTCAGCAGTTACTTGATTGTTCTCATTGTACTCCTGGCAGTTGTTATATGTACTGTGTTAGCCATCGTGTGTGTCAGCATGAAAGGTAAACACTAACCTTTCTTTATTTGACATCTTTAAAAAATTTTTTTCAGAGCCTTATTGAGATATAATTTACATACCATACAATGCACCCATTTAAAGTGCACTATTCAGTGGTTTTTAGTATATCCAGAGTTGTGCACCTGTTACCGCAATCAGCTTTAGAACATTTTCATCACTGTTCTGGCTTAAATATGACATGTCTCCTAAAGATTCCTGTATTGATGGCTTAATTCCCAATGTAGTAGAGTTCAGCAGTAGGGCCAAGAATGATGAGTGGATTGTGAAGACACTAACCTCACTAATGGATTAATCTATTGTTTCTGAGCTGAATGGGCTATTAGAAAGTACAGCTAGTCAGGCATGGTGGCGCATGCCTGTAATCCCAGCACCCAGGAGGCTGAGGCAGGAGAATGACTACAAGTTCCAGGCTAGCCTTGACTACATAGTGAGTTCAAGGCCAGTCTGAACTACATAGCCAGACCCTGTCTCAAAAAAAAGGAAATAGAGCTGTTCCCTTCTCCATCTTGTTCTCTTGATCTCTCTCTGCTTCTTACCTGCCTTGAGCTGAACAGCTTTCCTCTGTCATTCCCTTCCACTATAAGGTTTCTGCGTTGGAGCCAACTAACCCTGGATTGAAACCTCTAAAATCGTGAGCTGATGTAAACCTCTCCTTCAAGTTGCAGGTGTCAAGTGCTTTGTTCCATCAGTGGAAAGCTGACCCCAAAAGAAATCCTATCTGCTCCCATTATGTGGCATTCCTCATTTTGCCCTGGTTTACACAGTTCTAGACATCCACTAGTCTGCTTTCTGTTTCTATAGATTTGTTTATTCTGAACATGATATAAGTGGTATTACCTGTTCTGTGGCATATTGGTCTGGCTTCTTACTTAAGCTTAGTGTAATATTTTCAAGGTTCATGTATGTTACATAGGTGTCAGTACTTTATTGGTTTCTTATGGCTAAACAGGATTGCAGTGGTTGGATATATTTTACATATTCATATATCATTTGGTGAACATTTGGGTTGTTTCTACTTTTTGGCTGTTACAGATCTGCTGCTATGAATATTTGCATTTGGTTTTGTGTAGACCTAGATCTTCATTTCTCTTGTGTGTTTACCTGGGAATGGAATTGCTAGGCCATATGTTCCTTTTGAGGAACTGTCAGACTTTTCCAAGAAGTTGTATCGATTTACTTTCTATCTCTTTTTTTTTTTTGATACTGGGGATTGAACTCAGGACCCTGCGCTTACAAGGCAGGCGGCAGAACCACTGAGCCAAACCACCAGCCCTTCGATTTACTTTCTTACCAGCAGTAAGAGATTATAAGGGTTCTAATCTCCCACTGTTCTCACCAACACAGTATTATCTGAGTTTTTGATTATAGTGTTCCTAGTGAGTATGATATGGTATCTTTTGGTTTTCATCTGCATTTCCTTGATAACTAGTGAGTCGACTATCTTTTCATGGCTTTTTAATGTCATTTTTGAAGAAAAATATCAGCTTCTCTGAAATTTTAAACTACATTATCCTTTTATCAGTGGTTTGTAAGAGTTACACCTGTCCTTTTTTTTTCTTTTTTTTAATGCAGTGTAGGCACTTGAACCCAGGGCTTTGTATGTGCTAGATAGCTCCCTACCACTGAGCTACACCACCAGGCCTACCCTATTCTTCTTTTTCTTTCTTTCTTTTCCTTTTTTTTTTCTTTTTGTGGTACTGGGGCTTGAACCCAGAGCATTCACACTGTACTACCTCCTCAGCCCTTTTTTATTTTGAGACAGGGATTGGTGAATTGCATAGGCTAGGCTCAAACTTGTTGTCCTGCTGCCTCAGCCTCCAGAGTGCTGGGATTACAGATGTGTGTCTCCATGTCCAGCTCCTACTCAGGTCCTTGGGCTTCCGAGGCAGGCGGCGGAACCACTGAGCTAAATCCCCAGCCTATACCTAGTCTTAATGATAATTTTTTCCCTACATGGTATGGTTTTCTGGAATCATTTCTCTGGAGATACTAGAAACCTTATTGCTCTGGTTTATAGAGTGAGCTAGCTGAGCACTCTGGTGACTGTAATTAAGAAATGCTTTGGGCCAGGAATGTAGCTGAGTGGCATAGTGCCTGCCTGGCAAGTTCAAGGCCCTGAGTTTGATTCCCAGTACCCGCCCCCCCAAAAAAGAAATGGTTAAAGACAGACTACACCCAGGGAATGAGAGCAAGTGAGCTGCCTCTGCTGAGTGGGGGTGGGGGAGGAGTGGGTGTGAACTTGGCAGTCCTCATGCCCAGTGGAATTGAAGACTCTATCACCCTCGCTGATTTTTCCCTGGTCTCTATGACCCCTGGGTCCCTCAGTGTTTCTACCCTGCCCCTCCCAGAGGTTCAGTGCTTCATGTTTAGTGTTAAGTACATGAATTGCATTTGGAACAGCAGATCTGAGCCCCAGCCCACTAACCCGGCTGCTCTATTGGTACAAAACCTGTGATGAAGTCCAGGAGTGTGGCCTCTTCTCTGTCATCAGAAAAAATGACCTGCCTGTCAGCCACGAAACCAGGAGCTCCGTCTCTGCCAAATGTTGCTGTTCGGCTCCAGGACCACAGGAGCCCAGGAGGCAGGCCACCTAGGTGCCGAAACCACAGAATCTAGTGACTCCCAGGCTCCAGAGAATCCTCACAAGCTGAGCGAATCCCAGCCAGAGCTGAGCTGGAACAACAGGCACTTGGAGCACTGTTTGCAGCATTTGGTTCAGTACCAGAGCAACCAGGGTCATAGTTGGACTACTAAAGGACCAGGAGATCACAGACATCGCTTCTCCATGCTCATGTGGATGGGCAGAACTCCGGGTTTGGAGCCACTCTGGAGCATCTCAGCATTGGAGTCAACAGAGCCACCCACTTCACTGGGGAAAAATAATTCAAAGAGAATACTTCATTATTTGCTTTGGAAGGTGTGCTGGACCATTGGCTCCATAAGATGGGTTGTTAACCTCATGTGCGTGTATTGGAGGCTGGAAAGGACAGTGTAGTGAATTCCCACCCTCAGGAACCTAGGAGGGCTGGGTGTGGCTATGCATGTGTGTAATCCCAGCACTTGGGAGGCTGAAGCAGGATCACCACAAGTTTGAAGCCAGCCTGGGCTATATAGTGAGTTCAAGACCAGCCTAAGCTACATAGCGAAACTTTGTCTCAACCCCCCAAAAAGACAGAAAAAGAAAAAAGCCAGGTGTTAGCATTATCTTAATTTATTTGCCTTTTTTTTATGTCGCATTCTGTTGGGACCACTGAGTTTGTAACTATTAAATTCAGATTTGTAACAATAAGTGTGAACTTTTCCCCCCTGAAATGGTTGCTTTTCTTCGTATGTTTTTGGTGGTGTCAGGGCACGTTCACATTCCTGTGAGGGATGCTCATATTCATCCCAGATACTCCCACCGTCCCTGCCCCAGCACATGCCCATGCTCAGAGCTAGGAGTCATCTACAGGTCATGGGCTGCCTGTCCCACAACTTTCTCCAAACAGAACCCCATCCCATACATACCAAGTATGTGTCAGAGGAGCTGACTAGAAGCTCTGGAATGATCCTCAGATCACTGGTTCAGGTGTGGATGTGGGACCTGATTTGGGCCAGGAGGGTTTTGCTGGAAGGTGCTGGGAAAGTACTTCCTTGCAGCTCTGAGAAAGTTTCAGAAGCCACATGTCACTTTCCTCCTGGATGATGCTGTATCTCCACTCAAAGCCCAAGATGAGCAGGCACAAAGGAGGTGACACTGTGAGAAGCCTCTATACACCCATCCCTGAGTCAGTACAGGTCCGTCCTGCTTTTCAGCCAGTTGGTGTTGGATTTTATTTACTTGTGGTTAGAGGTATCTAGCTGAACTGAGAAAAGTATTCTATAGAAATATGGTAGGTCAATTGCCAATTTAAAGCCAGGCATGGTGACACATACCTATAATCCCAGCACTTGAGAGGCTGAGCCAGAAGGATGGCCACAAGTTTTCGGCCGGTCTGGGCTACATAATGAGTTCATGACCAGCCTGAACTACAGCAAGACCTTGTCTCAAAAAAACCCACAACAACAAAATTGCCAATTTAAAAAATAATTAGCATAAGATGCCTTATTAAAAAATATTTTAGGGCCAGAGATTTAGCTCAGTGTCACTTTGCCTGCCTTGTAAGTGCAAGGTCCTGAGTTTGATCCCCAGTACCAAAAAAAAAATTATTTTGGAACGGGGGATAATGGCATACTCCTGTAATCTCAGTACTCTGGAAGGCTGATGCAGGAGGGTCGAGAGTGAGAGCCCAGCTGGGTAATTGTTTTAATCATGAAGCATTTTTTATGTTGCTTAGATTAGTGTTTATCTTAGCTTTTTCCGAAAGGGAAATAAAGTGTTTTACACCAAGAATTAAAGCACCTAGGCTTCTACTGATACTTGGACTTGTTTTACAAATGCAGTAAAAATGTCATGGGGCACTGTACATGAGCGGGAGCCCAGCGAGTCTGTGAGAGGAGCCACTACTGCCACAGCTGTCATCCGTTTGCTGTGGAGCTGGGGAAGAAGTGGAGAGATCTGCAGGATGAAAATAAAATTGGAATATGTGGTGTCTAGCAATTCTGTGATGACCTGGCAGTTGATCCAGCCAGCATTAGTATTTGATTGTTGCATGGAAGAGAGCAGCAACGCTGAGTTCTCCAAGTAGGAATTCCTGCACAGCATGACAGAATTAGGATCTAGAAATGGCCATTGCCCACTGGAGCTTAGTGCTTAATGGAAGATTTAAATTCTTAGACCAGTGGAATAAATTTTTGTCAGAACATCATAAATGATCGGTACCAAAAGATACTTGGAGTCTTTTAGAATTCAGTACAGCAATTGCAAATGACGTATCTAATTATGGTGAAGAAGGAGCATGGCCTGTTCTCGTTGATGACTTTGTGGAATTTGTATGTACATCCTCAAATTGCTGGGACAAAAAAATACAACAGTGTAGCACTAAAGGAACATTCTAGAATGTACATAGTCTGTACAATAAATACAACAGAAAATCGCACAATTTCTGCTGGCCGGGCTGAAGTGAAGATCAAACTTCACTGTTCAAACAGGGTTGAGACAAAACTTTAAGGGTACATCTTTTACCGTATTACATTTCATTCTCCTGATGGTAGTCTGGACTTGTCTTCTAGTCTGGACTGCTCTAAACATTTATAATTCCAATGTTCTGGATTTCATCTTCATATCTGTGGACCATCCTACTTTATCCTCCCATGAGTCTTAAAAGCTTTCTGGTGATTATTCTGAGGTTTCCATTGCATAAAATACGATGCTGTCTTCACCAGAAAAGTTTGGTGTAAGAATTAAACATAATGAATATCACAAAAAATTTATAAAAACTTCTTAAATGCTTTGGGCTGGTTGCAAAGACTTTGTAACTGATAACCACTTCCAGTGAGAGTGATATATTTAAGTGTACCAAATCTATAATTGTGTTTTGGTTTGGGGGATTTCTTTTCCTGGCATATCACAGGTATTGTTGACTTAAGTGGAGTGTCTGATGAAAGAAATGTCAAAACAACCATTGTAAAAATTTTTTAGGGTAATTTGGTGCCTGTCTGAAAAATGTATTGAGTTTTAGACTCTCGGTTTCAAAAAGATTCCACAGAATTAATCTGCACTTCCCTTACCCTTGTTTATATGTAATGGTCCTACAGGGAGCTTTTATTTAGCAAACGTCTGCGTAATGTTAGAGTCTACTGTTGACTACATTATGCAGTACATAATTGGATTTCATTATGCTTTTGAAATGCTTATATGCCTATCACATATGTTAAACTTTAATTTGTTTAGGATGTCTTGAATTACTATATACTACAGTATTCTAAATTAAAAAAAAAAAGTCTTGTGTATTAGTCTTCTTCAGGTGGTCTCGCCATCAGAATTGTTCATTTCCAGGCTTGGGGGTATAGCTCAGTGGTAGAATATGTGCTTAGGTACTAGGTTCAATCTCCAGCACCAAAATAAATAAATAAATAAATAAATAAATAAATAAATAAATAAATTCACTTCCCCAAAGTGTGAACCACTGGACAAAGAGCTTGAGTCATGCAGACTTGGGTTATATTTTAAAAAGTACCTATTGCGCTCTCTGAGCCCAGTTCCTCTTGTGTGGGCTTGTGTGTGCTCAGTACTTGTGTTTAAGCCCAGAACCTTCACACTGAGCTACATCCCCCCCAGCCCTTTTTTATTTTTGAGACAGGGTCTTGCTAAGTCACTAGTTGTTCAGGTTGGGCTTGAACTTGTGTGATTCTCTTGCTTGACCACCCAGTGTGCTGGGATTACAGGCGTTGTTTATCTGTTCACCAACACCCAGCCTCTGCCCCCGCCCCCCCATTCAGTTCGTTTATAAAATGGAATGGTGACTAACCCAGCATTCAGTGTTCAGGTACTTACTTGTTTGGGGTTTTTTTGGTGCTGGGGATCGAACTCGGGTCCTTGTGCTTGCGCAGCAGGCAGCGAAAACACTGAGCTAAATCCCCGGCCCTTCAGGTACTTATTAATATGCCTTCTTTGCTCTCAGAAGTGAGCCAGCCTGGACAGTGATTTTGTGGTCGTCTAGCCAGAACCCAGGAGTGGTGTTCATCCTTAGCAAGTCTCAGAAGTGCATCTGAGGCTTCTGTCCTATTTCCTTCCCATCCTTCACTTTGTCACTGGCTCTCACACTCGGGCGCTGGCCACCAAGTGCAAGCCAGCGGAGTCAGAGGGTGGGTGGATCATACAGAGCATGCGCTAGCACGTGTGTTTTGTGGGAAAGGGGCCTCTTCATCTCTGAGGAGGGGAGTAAGCCACTGATTATTTCTGTGTTTCAGGAACCATTTGTAACCCTGGACCTCGGAAGTCTATGTCTAAGCTGCTTTACCTCCGCCTAGCACTCTTTCTGCCAGAGATGGTCTGGGCATCCCTGGGGGCCGCCTGGGTAGCAGATGGTGTCACATGTGACAGAACAGTTGTGAATGGCATCATTGCAACTGTCATTGTCAGGTGAGGTCTTATCTTCTCTTTTAGTGTCTTCTCATTACAGTTGTATTTGAAATGTAGGTGAATGCATATCTCTGAGGAGTGTGACCAGAGAGCTTTCTTATTAGCTAGAATGAGACCTTACTGAATCACTTATGACAATTTACACACATTTGTTTAGGCCTGATATCCATTATCCATTTGTTGATGTTTTTTCTTTCTTCCTGGGTTCTCAGTTTCTTGAATTCCCTTTCTTATAAGAAGGAAAAAAACCAAAGACTAAAGCAAGGTCAAAAGCTAAAGATAAGATGAAAAGAAATGGAGTGTCAAAGAGCCCAGGATTTAGCTCAGTGGTGCTGCCACCTGCCTCGCAAGCGCAAGGTCCCGACTTCAATCCTTGGAACCCCCAAAAAAAGAAATGTAGTGTCAAGTATCATGACAGGCAATAGTGCTCTGATAAGCCTTATAATAAGGTTTTTGCATCTTCTGGAATAAAAATCTTAGAGATAATCTAGTTGCCTCTCTTAGAGTTATGAATAAGGAAACAGGCTCATGCTATTGCCAGCTTTCCTGAGCCACCTGGTAAGAGAGCAGCAGAACTGCCTCATGGAAGTGTCTTCCCACAGGACTTGTACATGTGGGCAAATCTGGGAATACTTAAGAGATATGAATAAAAGGCCTATCAGAGTATCCCACAATCTGGGCATTCTTTTAGTTTTACCAGAAGAACCCTGAGGCACTGAACTGAGGAGGAAGGGCCTAAGTCAGGCCACCACACAGCTCCATGTTTCCTTTGTGGCCCTTATTTTTTATAGGGCCTGGGTTGACTATGAAGAACTTTCTAGAAGGAACAGTTTGGTCACCTCAGCCAGACTCTGGGAGATCTTTCTTCCTGGGTCCCAAGCACTTCAGTAGAGACACAGAACTGAACATGAAGCAGGTGTGTCAGGCTCTGGATGGAGGCCCCTAGTCACCAAGTTCTTTCCCCTCTCTCTTGCAGTTGGATCATCATCGCTGCCACTGTTTTCACCATTATCATTGTCTTTGACCCACTGGGCGGGGAAATGGCTCCCTATACCTCTGCTGGTCCTGATCACCTGGATAGTCACGAATCAAGCCAGTTACTTAATGGCCTCAAGACAGCAGCTACAAGCGTGTGGGAAACGAGAATCAAGTTGTTGTGCTGTTGCGTGGGGAAAGATGATCACACTCGAATTGCTTTTTCGAGTACGGCAGAGCTTTTCTCAACCTACTTTTCAGTAAGCTGAAGGGATCTGATTTGGTCTCTTTCTGTTTCCATGAATCCCTCTTATGTGAAATTGAGCACTCTGGCTGCGCTTTGAGCTAATCTCCCTTTTCACATGAGTGGCTTTTGAGAATCTGGAACCTCTGGGTGTGGGGTTGGGGACGGACTGTGTCTGGGATGAGCGCCTTGGGGCAGTTAACTTCAAGGGCAATTCTTTTTCAGACCCTGTCTTGACTCTTAGGTACATCTTCATTGACACCTGTTCATTACACATCCTTTTTTTTTGGTACTGGGGATCAAACTAAGGACCTTTCGCTTGCCAGGCAGGCACTGTGCCACTGAGCTACATCCCTGGCCCACTCCCTTTTTAAAGGAACTAGTGGAACCTCTACAGTTGGGGACTACCACACACAGCTGCACACACGCACGTGCGCGCACACGCACACACACACACAGACTTTATATTCTCTGTCAAGTTGATGCAGCAGATACATGTGAGCAGTGTTGTACATCCAGAGTAGTCTCAGATAGTGGTTTCTTAGCACTTATGTGGTAGAAATGATAGCTTTTTCAGCCAGGAGTGGTGATGCACTCCCAGCAACTCTGGGAGGCTGCCGCAGGAAGATCACAGTTTGACCCCAGCTTGTGTGAGTCAGTCCCTGTCTCAAAATTTAAAAGTTTTAAAAAGGAAGTAAGTGCATGCGAAGGGTTCAGTCCTCAGTTTGAGGGAAGGAAATCCTACTTATTGGAGTGTAAAAATGTGTTATCATTCTAAAGCAGTTTCCCAAGCGATTTGGGAATATTCGTTTTCTTTCATGTTCACTGTGTGATTTTTGTCTTTTCATGATAAACTGATAAACTGGTGTCATTTTCCATATTGAGGCCAGGTAAGGGGGACTGGTTCTGACAGTCTGCAACCCTTCCTGTCAGTTTCTTGCTTCTCTGTGGTGTCTGACTCTGTAGTGTTCTGGGCCAGCCCTACAGCTTGACACCAGGCTACAGAACCAGCTTCCACATAGGGATTAGAGAAATGTGTCCCCTAAACTGGAAAAGACTGCTTCAGCCTGGGCTGAGGAAAACAAGAAGCTGGCTATTCTCCGAATTCATTTCTCATTTCTTTTTTTTTTTTTTTTTTTTGAGACAGGGTTTTAACAGGCTGTCCTTGAACTCACTATGTAGCCCAGGCTGGCATGAGACTATTGGTGTCCTGCCTCAGCCTCCCAACTGCTGGGATTACAGGCGTGTGCCACCACGCCCAGCTGAGAGGATTTCTTAATCTAGTCATAGGTCCAGTGGTTGGTACATAGTCTTTTCTGGTGAGCCGAAGTACCAGGGATCAAACTCAGGACTTTGCACTTGTGAGTCATGCCTTGTGAGTCATGCAGCGGAACCACTGAGCTAAACCCCTGGGCCCGCCTTTTGGTACTTCTGTCTGTTCCCTATTTCTGAAGGAAAAGGGTAAGGTCAGCTCCAGAACACTAAATGCTGCTTTGCCATCTTGAGGTTTGGAGCATGTGCTGTACCCAGGAACATATTCAGCCTCATACATCCCGGGTGTAGTCTGTTTTAATAAAACCGTTACAGCATTTTGAGAATCAAGAGTATAAACTTGAGCTGAAATTGTACATTACTAAAAATATGGATGATTTAGTCATTTGTTTTCCACATTTACAAAAGATTTGAAGTATATTAGAAATAGTTAACTCGAAGTGGAATTTTGAAATAGGGACCCATCTAAGTAGATTTGACTGAGGATAAGACCTGAGAAAATACTAAGCTCAAATATAGGAGGAGACCTGTAAAGAATGCCTTTAAAACTGCCTTTGTACATGTAAATGTTCCCAGTGTAACTGCACTGCGCCTGTAAACTGTGAAACTGAATCGTGAAGCATTCAGGGCAGCTCCTGCTAAGTTTCATGCCAGGCCATCACACTTCCCCACACAGGACACAGATCTGGTGCCCAGTGACATTGCAGTAGGCCTGGCCCTTCTCCATCAGCAGCAGGACAACATCAGCAGCAGCCAGGAGCCACAGGAGGTGATCAGCCACTCCCCAGGGCACCCCCAGGTAATCCCAGATTTCTCTTGGATGGTATAGTCTTGATGCTTACACTGGTGTAGATCTTCAAAACTAGACCACTCACCAAGAGCAATTTGGGTCACAGTTGGGCTGGAATCGGTTTGTCCTCTGTGACACACCTGTCTGGCAAGGCAGATCCTCAATGCTTGGGGCCCTGGTAGCAGAAGCCCATTCCCAGCAAGTGCATCATATTTTCAGACCTTTCTCCTTTGGGAAATTTCCTGCTGGGTTCTACACACCAGGAAAATTCCTTCTAAGTTGGGACCTCAAGCCCCCTGAGTGTGTTTCTTTTTTCTCTTCTCTCCATCTGGGAAGCGGGAAGCTTCACTGGATGATAAGTTTCCTCCTGTAGATTTTTGTGTTTTGTTTTGTTTTGGTTTTGGTTTTTTGAGACAGGGTCTCACTATGCAGTTCAGGCTGACCTTGAACTTGCCATGTAGTCCAGGTTGGCCTTGAACTTGTGATCCTGCTGCCTCAGCCTCCCAAGTGCTTGGATTACAGGCATGCACCACCTGGCAATTTTTATGTTTTTGAAAGAGAAAATTCCACACAGGATACATAGTTTTTTTATCTCTTGCAAAAGCACTGAGTTCTTGGCGGCATCTGTGTTACAGTGTGGAAATGTGCTAATGCTTCTGTTTCAGACACATGTTAGCAGGAGTCAGGAATCATTACAGAAGCAGGGAGTGGTGGCAGATGCCTATGATTCCAGCACTCTGAGGGGCTGAGGCAGGAGGATTATAAGTTGGAGCCTATCCTGGGCAATTTAGTGAGACCCTGTCTCAAAATGAAAAATACAAAAGGGCTGGAGATGTAGCTCTGTGCAGAGGCTCTGGGTTCAATCCTCAGTGCTGCAGAAGCAAAGAAAAAGAATCACTAGGGTCTTGTTGCTATTAATTTCCTTCTCACTGCATTCCTGGAGTCCACTTGAGTTTGTGTTTAAGGGCCAGTTTTCTAAGAATTCTGGTCAGTGAGAAAAGAGAGAGAATCAGGAGTTGGAGTTCAGGTTTAAGATCTTAGCATGTTCATCCTCCCCATAATGAGTTCCCTTAAATAAAAAACTTTTTTTTTCTCTTCCAGGAAGCTGAATTGGATGCAGAATTAGAAAATTGCCGTCATTATATGCAGTTTGCAGCAGCTGCCTATGGGTGGCCTCTCTATATTTATAGAAACCCATTTACCGGGCTGTGCAAGATTGGTGGTGACTGGTAGGTGTGCACCATGTGAGGCTTCCATGCCCACATGTCTCTCTCTTTTTTTTTTTTTTTGGTACTGAGGATCGAACACAGGACCTTGCGCTTGCAAGGCAGGCACAGTGCCACTGAGCTAAATCACCGATCCTCTACATTTCTCTTTTTAAAAATTCTATTTTAAAATATTTCAGAAGCTTGCAGGAACAGAACAGAGATGTCTAACCCATATCTTTTATCTGGAGTCCTCTTAATCTAGATTCCTTTATCTAGAGTCTGACTCATTTTGTCATGTGTGCAGTATCATATACTCTAGACAGATTTTCCCCCTGAAGGATTTGAGTTTAGTTGTAGACTCCTTGCTTCTTTGTTTCTAATTACTTTAGCCTAAATTTCTGAAGCATGATGTTCTTTTACGTAACTCCAGTAAAAATGTCAAACTCAGGAACTTTATCATTAATCTTTAATTTGCTTCTATTTTTGGTGGTGTAGAGCATGAACCCAGGGGCACCCTACCACTGAGCTACATCCCCAGCCCCTTTTTTTTGTTTTGGTACCGGGGATCAAACTTGGAACCTTGCGCTTACGTGGCAGGTGCCGAAACCACTGAGGTAAATCCCTGGCCCCCCTTTCATTTTTTGACACAGGGCCTCACTAAGTTGCCCAGGCAAGACTTGGATTTGTGATCCTTCTTCCTCAGCCTCCCAAATTGCTGGGATTACAGGTGTGCACCACTGGGCCTGGCATCTTTAACTAATTTGTAACTTATATTCTGATTCTTCCAATGCCCCAGTAAAGTCCTTTTTAGCAATTTTTCCTTGACCCAGGGCTACACTTTGCATTTGGTTGCCCTAGCTCCTTAATATCCTTCAATTTGGAGTCCTTTAGCAACCCCTCTGTCTTTCACAGTGTTAACATTTTGAGGAGGTCAGCGCAGGTATTTTGTAGACAGGTCTTCCATTTTCATCACCTGGAGGTTTCCTTGTGGCTGGATCCAGGTGTTGGGTTTTTGGCAGGAGGTGCTCTGTGAGGAGCTGTGTCCTTCCTGGTATGTCCGTCCCATCAGGAGCGTGAGAGAATGCTAGGTTGTTCCACTCTTGGCACTGTTAACATGATCGCTTGGCTGAGGTGACAGTAGCAGGTTCTGCACAGAGGTAGTCCCTTCCTTCTCCTTATAATGAGGTCCTCCAAGACCACCTAAACATTTGGTCCTCTCCAAACTCGCCCAGTCCTTTTGGTGTGCATGGATTGTCATGTGAATCAGTTATTAGGATGGTTACAAAATTATGATTTTTCTAAATTCACTATTTCTTCTGTATTAGTTGTCATTCTGCCTTAAAGCAGAGTTTCCCTTCCCTACTATTTATTTATTTTTGCTGCTGGGATTTGAATTCAGGGCCTCTTGCTTGCCAGGCAGGCACTGTGCCTCTGAGCTACATCCCCAGCCCTGCTAATTATCAATATGGATATATAGGTTCTGACCTTATTCAATGGGTTATAATGTATTACTGTTCTTTTGTTGTTGTTTTGTTTAGTGGGGGCTGCTCACTACATACCCCAAGCTATACTCCAGCTGGTGCTGATCCTCCTGCCTCCTCCTGGGGTTATATTACTGTTCATTTTATAATGAGTGTAGTATTTGGTGTTCAGAGTGTCTCAGATGAGGCATTGCAGCTGGCTCCTGGGGACCTTTTGCTATGTATTATTACTTTCTGAGCATGTCCTGAGGTTTTTTTTTTTTTCCCTTTTGTTTTTGGAGACAGGGTCTTGCTACATAGTTGGGGCTGCCTTGAACTCACTGCCATCCTCCTGCCTCCGCCTCCTGAGTCCTGGGATTACAGAAGTCACTACCATGCCCAGCCCATTTCCTGAGTTTCTGAGTTAAGAGTTTTTTTAGAGGGGGTGGAGGTGAGACACTGTCTGGCTATGTGGTTCAGGTTGGCCTTGAACTCACTGTGTAGCCTAGGCTGGCCTGAAACTTGCAGCAATTCTCCTGCCTCAGCCTCTCAAAGTACAGGGATTACAGGTGTAGATCACCACACCTAGCCTGACCTTAGATTCTACAGCCTCGTCTTGTCCTTTCCTAGACTTAATTTGCAGGGCTTCCGCTCCTTTTGGTGTGGCCATTGGTAATTAGAAAGCAAGAACTAGGGTCCAGGTGTGGGTATTATTCCCAGGGTGTTATTGGCCTTTTCAGAGGACAGGGTTGGGGGGAAAATAGCAATTCCGTGTGATTCAGCCCAATATATATTTATTTTAAAAATTGTAAGTTTGGTTGGGCACAATGGTGCACTCCTGTACAACTTGCTACGGGGAAACTCAGGGTGGGAGAAGAGTGAGGTTGAGCCCAACCTGGGCAATGTAGTGAGACCCCCATCTCGAAAAAAATGACAGTGAGAAGATGGTGGTGGCACAGGCCTGTAATCTCAGCACTCAGGAGGCTGAGGCAGAAAGATCACTGCTAGTTTGAGGCTAGCCTGGGCTACATGGTGAATTCAAAACCAGCCTGAACTGAATAATGAGACCTTGTCTCTAAATAAATAAATACAGTAAAAATCATGAGTGAAAGGGCTAGAGATGTAGCTTGGCAGTAGAACACTTGCCTAGCATATCCAAGACTGTGGGTTAGGTCCCCAGCACTACCAAAAAAAAATAGGGTTTATATTGATGCCTTTTGATTCTTCTTCAAAGCCACAAGTTTTCCTTCTTCCATATCCTGTTTATGTCCATTTTCACCCTTAGAGAGAACCCTGGCATCCGAAACATCAGTACCAAGTTGCTCACGCTTGGGCCCCTGTACTCCCAAAGTAGCTTGAGCATGGTCAGACTCGGCACTGCTGCCAAAAAGAAATGTCCAGAGTATAGTTTGTAGTGTTCAGAGTTTTTTGTTTTTAGATTTAGAGTACTATATTTGCAAGTTACTTAGATTAGTCCTTTTATTGTTGTTTCTTCAGAACACTGGTTGACCCCCTTCAGTAAGCATGTAGTTTCAGTTTCTCTCCACCCTTGTTGATTTAATTTATTTTTTAATATGTAAAGCACTGGCGCAATGCTGGAAGGCAAAGCCCTGGTAAGAGGTATATACACAGAGAAGTTTTTGTCTTCCCCTTCCTGGTACTTGCCATTGCTTGCCGGGAAAACACGGAGGTGTGGATTGATGTTCCTGGTGAGGGCTGTGCGCTGACACCTTCCCTCTTCTGCAGTTGTAGAAGCAGGACCACAGAATATGAGTTGGTGGGAGGTAATCAGCTCAACTGCCATTTCGGCTCCATCCTGCATACGACAGGCCTGCAGTACAGGGACTTCATTCACATAAGCTTTCACGACAAGGTATAGTATCAGACAGCAGCTCTTAAATAATCTTGGGTCCTGGGGTCCTTTGCAGTTCTGAGGGGAGTTCTAAATTATTCTTCATATAATTCAGAGATACACATATTTAACCCCAAATCTTTAGCACAGTTTCCGGGAATTTACAGACTCCCTTGAAGTCCACACCCATGGATCCAGTTAAAAATCCAGGTTTTGAGCCATGCATGGGGGCATGCACCTGTAATCTCTCTCAGCATTCAGGACCCCGAGGCAGGATTGTGATTTCAAGGCTTGCTTGGACTGTGTAGCAAGACTCTGTCTCACAATCTTACATAACCAAAAAAAAAAGAAGAAAAACAACTTGGGTTTCACATAAGATGGAGCAACAAGGTTTTCTTGGGGACACCACGCTGTTTCTTACACAATCCAATCTTTGCCAAGGTATAATGAACTGTGTCAGAATCATCCCCATGCAGGCTTCTGTTTTGGGTCTTGGGCTCTGTTAGCAGTGAGGTTTTGAATGGGTCTCATGTTCTGGAAGTACTGCAGTCCTCTGGAAATATGATGAGGCTGCAAAAGCCAGCTTTGCCTCAGCTTCCACGCCTATGCCCAGTGTTAGGCAGTAGCCCTCTAAGGCTGTTCTTGGCCCCAGGACCCAAGAGCCAGTGGTTTGGAGAAGTGATTCTCAGCTTCTGCTGCCTGATGGGATCTCCTGGGGAGCTCATAAGATAACCTGAAGACCACCTCTGGATCAGTTTTGTCAGTCTTGGAAAGTGGGACCCTGCTTTAAAAGCCCCCCACTGTAGCTGGGCATGGTGGCACATATCTGTAATCCCATCACTCTGGGAGCCTGAGACAGGAGGATCACAAGTTCAAGCCCAGCCTAGGCAACTTAGAGTCACTTAGGGAGACCCTGTCTCAAAAAGGGATGGGGATTTAGCTCAGTGGTTTCGCCGCCTGCTGTGCAAGTGCAAGGACCCGAGTTCGATCCCCGGTACCAAAAAAAAAAAAAAAGGATGGGGATGTAGCTCAGGACAAATCCCTGGATTCAGGCTCCAGTACTACAAAAAAAAAGTGAACCCTGGCGTTGGTTGTTTATAATCTCAGCCCTCTGGGAACCTGAGGCAGAAGGACTGTAAGTTTGAGTTCATCTGGGCAACCTAATGACTTGATGAGACTTTGTCTCAAAATAAAAGAAGGGCTGGGTGTAGAGCTGAGTTTATATAGCCTATAGCTAGGTTTAATTCCTAGAACTACCAAAAAAAAAAATGAGAAAGAGACTGAGAGAACTGGAACCACTTGCATGGGAGCACACAGCAGGAAGGTGTTGAGCTGAGTTTCTGCCAGACCTCAACCCTTTCTGTGTCTCTCAGGACCCTGGTTCTTAAAGCTGGAGCCCGAAATTGTGGCTTTAGCTTTGCTTGCTTCGAAATCAGAGTGCATGCTTACGAGACCCAAAGCCTTTTGCTCCTGCTCAGAGTCCCTTAAAGCAGAGGATGCTGGTCTTGTGTTGACTGCTGCGGGAGGCTGCTGAGCTAGGCCTGCCCCAACCCCAGTAGATGACAGTAGTGTGGTCCCTGAGTCTGGCAAACAGCGCCTGTTATGCTGGCGTCCCAGAGGGACCGCAGGTTGTCAGCAGAACTGCGTGTGTCCACTGAGCAGGCGCGGGTGCTCAGGCCTAGCTGTAGAGGTAGTGAGTGAGATTATATGTTGTGCAGCGGGGTGTGAGATCTGACTTGGGGAGGCCAGAGAGGCTGGGAGGGATGACAGAGTTGTTTGTGTTCAGTAGCATGGCTTTTTGTTTGGGTGGTTTTCTTCTCTGTGGTGCTGGGGATTGACCCTGGGCCTTCTCACTAAGCTACATTCCCAGCCCTTTTTCAGTTTTTATTTTGAGACAAGTTCTCCCTAAGTTGCCCAGGCTGGGTTCAAACTTGTGATCCTCCTGTCTCTGATCCTCCTGTCTCGGCCTCCCAGAGCTCTGGGATTACAGGTGTGTGCCACCATGCCCAGCTCACAGTAGCACGTTATATGGAAGATTTTTGTGTATGGTGTCACAGTTGTCCCCTGGCTGGTGAAGATGAGTGGAAGGTCAAGCAGTGGATAGCCCCATCTCCAGGTCGTGGGAATCAGAGTTTCTTGGGAGTGACCATCTGCTCTCTCGCCGGTGACCCTAAGTGGCGTCTCCTGTACTCAGGCCTCATGCTTCCTCTCCTTCAGGTATACGAGCTGCCCTTCTTAGTGGCTCTGGATCACAGGAAGGAATCTGTGGTGGTTGCCGTGAGAGGGACAATGTCTCTGCAGGTAACTTGGGAGCTGGGGAGGGAGCAGGGAACAGGGATGAGTGGGCCTCGGCTTGGAGAAGGGAAGATGTTCACAGCCTGCAGCTTGGAACATGGAGGGAAACACAGAGTAGGGAGGCAGAAGTGAGCCCAAGGTTTGGAAATGTGCCCTCTGCAAAATCGGGGAAACTTGTTCCCTGTTCACTGACCAGTGTCAGGGGCTCAGAGGCCAGCAGGTCCTACCTCTTGGCCAGATCCCAGGGTCCCTTCCTGCCGACTCCCCGGGTCAGGTGACCCTCCCCAGAGCCGGGTGGAGCAGCACATTCAGCCTGGCTATGGAAAGTCATGGCTGTTGGCTGAGTTCCTGTCCTGGGTCCTGGCCACCCCACCCTTCTGCTGGTCTGCAAGGAGCAGTGGACCCCTTTGTTTCTCTGCAGCTGGTGAACACCCCCTTTACCTTCCCCATCCCTGACTTCTCAGCCTCCCGGAGACCCCAGATGATGCTGTGCCTCCTTTGCCTCTGTGTAGTGGGTCCTTCCTGGCTGCTTGCTCACTTCCTCACACTTCTCTGCTGACCCAGAACATGTCATTGGGCCCAGGCTTTTGTGGCCTAGGCCTTCTGCTTCAGACCAGTTCTGGGGTGGCCTCCACCTCAAGATCCTGTAGCTGCATCTTCCACAGCCTTCCAGGCCTCCCTCCCAGGTCTGTTCCTCCCTGTGGCCTCCTGTTCCTGTTCATTCCACCAGCCTTCCCCAGGTGCCTGCTCAAGGGACAGTGACACTGTCCTTGCTTTCTGTGTTCGATCACACCCTGTCAGGTGTGATCACACCAGGTCAGGGACCTACGCTCTCTGGCCACCTGCTCAGTGCCCAGCGCCATGGCCTAACTGCTGTCCAGGCCTCTTCCTGTGCCAGGCTCTCATCCTCCTGGCTGTGCCTTGACTGTCTTAGGGGTCAGCTCTTCCTTCTCAGACTCTCCAGTACTTTTCATTTTTCTTTTTTGGTAGTACTGGCATTTGAACCAAGAGTCTTTGCACTAAGCTACATCCCCAGCCCTTTTTCCATTTTTTATTTTGAGGCTGGCTAAGTTGCCCAGGCTGGGCTCAAACTTGGAATCCTCCTGCCTCAGCCACCAGAGTAGCTGGGATCACAGGCTTGCACCACCACATCCAGCTGAAATCTATGTTTCTCACTGCAGCCTAGTGGGCCCTATCACATGACCTTTTGCCTTTCCAGGCCCCACTCTGCACACAGTGCCCTCCACGCCCATCCCCTGGGGGTTTCTAAATAGTATGGGTTTGGAACCCACCCCCAGCCTGGGGCCTCCTGAGACCCAGGGCTGCCCTGGTGCTTAGCTTGCTGCCTCCTCAGTCAGCCTTTTCTGCAGGCCGTGCACAGCACCTCTCTCAGAAGGCCGCCACCCTGCTGGCCTTGTCCCACAGGTCCCCTCTGCCTAGGGCCGTGGGCTCTGAGGATGCCCCATGTGGGTCCTCCACAGTGGGCAGGTAGAGCTGTGTTGCAGTGGCCCCTGCCACATGGTTGCCCAGCCCCAAGCTCATAACACCTTCTTCATAGCCCTCAGAGCTCCCTGCCTGGCCTCATTTCTTGTCAGGCATCACAGGGTCATCAGGTGTCACTGCTGCCCACAAAGCAGGCCTGGGAGCAGTGCTTCTGCCCTGACTCATGCCACTTGTCCCTTGGTCCCTTTGTAGGACATCCTCACTGACCTGTCTGCCGAGAGCGAGAGCCTCCACCTGGACACCGACCTGCAGGACTGTTTGGCACATAAGGTACTCTGGGCGGTGGGGCTGCTGTCGCTGTGCCCGAGCTGCCCAGCTGTGAGGATGGTGGTTGTCCTTGCCATGTGGCTTCTCACAGCAGTCTTGAGGTGTGGGTTTGAGAGTCACCCATCTGAGGCCACCTGGTGACTGAGTAACTTAAGCTTGGGCGTTGGAGCCAGGCTGTGGCTTTTCTTCCCTCTTTGTTAAATAAAATTAACTTCACTACAAGCCAGGGATTGTGACACACACATGTAATCCCAGCACTCTGTGAGGCTGACAGGAAGACCAAAAGTTTGGGCCCAGTCTGGGTAATTTAGTGACTTCATGAGACCCTGTCTCAAAAAGTGTAAAGGGCTGGGGATGTGGCTCAGTGCGAAGGTCCAGGGTTCACTGCCCAGTAGCCGAAAAGAAAAGCTTTAGTGTAATACAGCTCAATGTAGCAGCAGCTCCACTCCTACTGGGGTGTAGGGTGGAGCCTGTGAACTCCTCCTGCCCTGGCACAGCTGGAGTGTTTTAAAGGTTTATTAAGATGGTGATAAACAATGTCATTTGACTGTAAACAGTGTCCAGTTCAGGGCTGTTAAACACTGTGTGCCCATCACCTCCCTCTGCATCCAGGATTTTTATCACTGCCAGCATGAGCTCTGTCCCTAATAAATACCTCCCCCTCTCCAACCCCAGGATTTGGCTTTTCCAGGGACGTCACGGAAGCAGTCTGTCTGTGACTGGTGTGGTGTTTTCAGGGTCCAGTGTGTTGAATCAGTTTCCTTCCTGCTGGAGGGTGACCAGTATGGCACTGGGTGGCTTCACTGCCCCTGCCGCTCATCCCCCGCTTGGCACTGGGGTTGTGTCCACCTCTGGTGCTCTAGGCCGCTGTGAGCATGGGTGTGCAGATGTCCATTCCAGTTCCGCCTTTTGCTTCTTTGGGTTGTGGACCTCGGAGTAGAGCTGCTGACTCACACGGCAATTCTGTGTTTAGCTTGAGGAACCACCGGACTGATTTCCATTGTGGCCACGCCATTGCCCCACTTCCACATACCTGCCAGCAGCGCCTGAGAGTTCCAGTTTGCCCACATCCTTCTCAACACTTGGTGATTTCCATTCTTGCCATTGCTGGGGTGCCTCATTCTCTGTGGCTTTGACCTACACTTTCCTGGGGACCAGGATGTTGCCGAGCAGTTTTTGAACAGTGAGGGAGTCTGGAGTGATTGCCTCCTGGAGGTTCCAGAGGCTGCCCCAGGGAGGAGGCCTTGGGCACTTGGAGTGGAGGGCAGTGGCTTGCCTTGGCTGTTGTATGCCTTATGTGTTTTTGTTTTGTTTTGTTTTGTTGAGACAGGGTCTCACTGTATGGTTCAGGCTGGCCTTGAACTCACTATATACCCAGGCTAGCCTCAAACTCACGGCAATCCTCTTGCCTCTGCCTCCCCAGTGCTGGGATTACAGTTATGTGGCACCATGCCCAGCTTGCCTCCTGTGTTTTCATGACCAAAAGAAGTGCTACTTCTGTAATAGTCTTTTATTTTTTATTTTTGTGGTGCTGGGGGTTGAACCCAGGCCCTGGAGCATGCTAGGGAGGTAGGCTCTTTGCCTCTGAGCTACACCTTAGCCCTTTTTATTTTTTATTTTGAGACAGAGTCATTAAGTTGATCAGGCTGGGCTCAAACTTGGGTTCTTCCAGAGTAGTTGTGATAATAGGAATGTGCCATTGCACTGGCCCAACATGTTTATTTTCATTTTTTAAAAAGTGTTACAGTAAGAGACTCTCGGGGTAACTGAAATGGAGTGAGGGCTTCTGCTGTCACCAGTTAGAAGCTTGACAGTGCTAGGAATGATCCCCTGCCCCATGTTGGGACCAGACCTGGGCCTTGAGTGTGCTAGCCAACCGCTCTGCTTAAGCTACTCCCCCAGCAGGATTTTTTTTTTTTCCTCTTGGTACCAGGGATCGAACTCAGGACCTTGCACTGGCAAGGCAGGCACGGCACCACTGAGCTAAGGATTTCTTTTTCTTTAACCTTTAGCTGCCTTTTTGTTCAGTTCACAGACGACCCCAGTTCAACTGTGTGTGTGTGTCTATCTGTTTGTCTGTGTGTGTCTGTGTGTGTGAGAGAGACAGGGACAGAGACAGAGAGAGCGACCTTCTAACCAGTTCTGATAGGAAAGGGCTTTCTGTGGCCAGGAGCTGTGGCCTCCCTTGAGCCCAGTGCCTGTGCTCCCGGTTTGACTGCTCGTCCCTCGGGCTGGGAAGGCAGCTGCTCAAAGCTTATTCTCAGCTCTTGGCTCCAATGCTGTCTGAGTAGCCAGGAGCCCCCTCAGCATTCCCCAGTGAGTGCAAGTGCTGGGGTGGCTCTCAGCAGCAGGGGCAGGTTCTGCCTGACTCTGAGTGTGCATCACTGGCCACGTAACAGGTGCCTAAGAAATGTGACTGTTGCAGTTGCAGGACAGTGAAAGGAAGTTAGGTGTTTGTCAGGAAGTGCTGTGCAGACGGGCACAGAATGACAGCCCTTCCTTTGGTATTCTGTCTCATGGTGCCAGGTTCAGTATTCTGGTGCAGGATAATCAAAATAATGAATCTTAGATTTTGCTTGTTTTTGTAGTACTGGGGATTGAACCTAGGGACACTCTACCACTAAGCTACATCCCCATCCCTAGTTGCCCTGGCTGGCCTTGAAATTGGGATCTTCCTGCCTCAGTTTCTTGAGTAGCTGGGATTATCGGCATGCACCATTGTGCCCAGCTGCACTGTTTGAGAGATAATTAAGAACAGTCTCTTGTGTTATACCGAATCTCCTCTACCTCTTCTCTCTGAATATAAGCCCGAAGGGGATGGGATCAGGCCTGGGAAGTGGCTGCCGAGCTGTCATGAGGAGTTGTTCCAGGAGGAGCTTCAATCAACAGGGTTGACTTGCCTCTGTTGGAACTGCTTGCTTTTCAAGGAGCCCATGACTGAGGACAGCTGTATTCATTTATGTAGAAGTTTTAAATTTTATTTTTTGAAATCAGACTAAAACCTGGCCTCCCTAAAATTCACTTTTTTTTTTTTCTGGTACCGAGTATTGTACTCAGTAAAATTCACTTCTGATAGACTCATTTTGCTTTTTGGGGTCCATAGTTGACGCCTGGTCAGTGTCTTTGATTTAGGACTGCACGCTCTCACATTGTTTAGAAAGGTTGGTCTTGTATGCTCTGAGTTTTTGCAGTCACCCATCTGTGCATGTACCGTGAGGAAAGATGCAGAAAGGGACCTGCCGATGGGGGTGGGGATGTCCCTGTTGTCACCCACTCATTCATGAATGTCGTGAACACCTGCCTTGTGCCAGTGTCGGGGCCAGGAACAAGAAAGCAGCTGTGCAGCAGGGCCACTGACCCAGGTGGTGCCCTGTCTAGGAGTGGGTTGGAGTCCCACAGAAGCATGTGTGTGCCTGTTCTTATCTGCTGAGCTGTGCTGAGCCTCATGCCTGCCTACCTGTCTTTTAGGGGATTTCTCAGGCCTCAAGATACGTTTACCGACAACTGGTCGATGATGGGATTCTGAGCCAAGCGTTCAGCATCGCTCCCGTGAGATTGCCTTTCATTTTATTTCCTTGTCCTGTTACTGGCCATCGTTATTTTTAGCTTGGAGCTCACTCTGCTCTCTGTCCCCCAGGAGTACCGGCTGGTTGTGGTGGGGCACAGCCTGGGAGCGGGGGTTGCCGCCCTGCTGGCCATCATGCTGCGGAGCTCCTACCCACAGGTCCGAGCCTACACCTTCTCCCCGCCCCGGGGGCTCTTAAGGTAAAGCCTGTCATTCCTGCATGGAACCGGGGACTGCTCACAAGCTATGTGGCCCACTGGTCTTTCATTTGTAATTTAATTACAATATATCATTTTCAGGAGAAGTTCACACTTTGAAGCACTGTTTAGTTGAAGAAAGACTATGTATAGCCTTCCATACATTGCTCTGACCATAGCTTTAATTTCCTAAATGATTACTGCTAAGGTTTTTGTTTTGCAGTACTAGGGATTGAATCCAGGGCCGTCACACTAAGCTACAGCTTCAGCCCTTCGTTTTTTATTTTGAGACAGGGTCTAAGTTTCTCAGTAAGACTCACATGTGGGATTCTCCTGCCTCAGCCTCTCACAGTGCTGGGATTACAGATGTGCACCACCACACCCAGCCTAAGATTCATTTTTTAAATAAATTTTACTTTTTAAGTTCAGAGCAGAATTCAGCTGAAGATAGAGAGAATTCCCATATGCTACTTGCCCTACATACCCACTGCTACCACCCATGGCAGAACTGAACCTGCATTGACACGTGGGTATCACTCAGTAGTCAGAGCTTACACCAGAGTTCACTTTTGGTGGGTTTGGACAAATGTGTAATGGCTTTTTTGAAAAGTATGGATGTTGTTGATTCAACATACTGTTCTATGTGACCTTTTGCCCTGATTATAAAAAATTGTACCACAGTACAAAAAAAATGAAGTAAATTAAGAATCAAAAAATAAGAGGAGCTGGGGATGGTGACACGTGCTTGTTTTCCTAGCACTTGGAAGACTGAGGCAGGAGGGTTACAAGTTTGGGGCCAGCAATTTAGTGAGACCTTGTCTCTAAAACAAAATAAAAAAGGGATGGGGATGTAACTCCGTGGTAGAGCACTTGGCAGTCATGTGCAAGGCCCTGGGTTTAATCCCCAGCACACTCCAAAAAGAAAAAAAACCCTTTTCTCCCTGGAAATAGCCATTTGTGGTGATCTTTTTTACTTACCTTTTTATTGGTTTCATATACGTATATAAATAGGTGTGTATGTGTCTGTATTCTCTTGGATGAGAGGCAGTATATCACACCGACTCTTCTGCCTCTTCCTGCTGTTACTTTTGCTTTTGTAACGCTGTTGCTTTTACTTTTATAACGGTGCACTCTGGAAGAGTACAGAGAATCCTCACTCTGTCTTCAGCTTCACTGGCCAGTTACAGACTGAACCCTAGATGCCGGGGTGTGTCCAGCCTGTGCTCACACGCTGCAAATGGCCTTTGCCTCTGCCCGAGCGTGCTTTTGCATCCCAGGCAGATTCTGCCAGCGGGGCTGCTGGGCCAGCGGGTAAATGTGCATGCATGGTTTGAGTCTGGTTCAGTTGGTGTGTTAGCTGTGGAGTCTTCTGAGTGTCTTTGTTGCAGCTTCATAAAATCTGAACAATGAGTTGCTCTGGCTGAAATCTCTGCCATTTCTTCTCCCCAGAAAGGGTATGGAACAGTGATGCCAATGTCCCACAGACCTGGCAGTGCTGCTCGATTCCCTGCAGACAACTTAGTTTCTCCTGTTTGAAATTTCAGCAAATCTCTACATGAGTACTCCAAGGGCTTCATCGTGTCGCTTGTCCTAGGAAAGGATGTGATTCCCAGGTCAGTCTGTTGGGTGGTAGTTGTGGGGGTTGGGGCCAGTGAACATACTAAGTACTGAGCGCAGTCTGATTTGCTGCTGAACAGGTTAAGTGTGACCAGCTTGAAAGATCTGAAGAAAAGAATATTGCGAGTGATCGCCCAGTGTAATAAGCCGAAGGTAATCTGGGTGCCTGTGTTCAGAGCATCTGCAGGAAGAGACTGTGTGGAGCGTTGAGCTTGTGAATGCAGCCTCGGAACAGGTTTCTAAGACTCCTGTATGATGCGCGGAGAGCAAGAGGCCAAAGCCATGAAGTGCCACGATTAGGGTAGACTGCCAGCATTCCCATTCAGTTACATGGTCTGCCTCCGCTGGACCTTAGTCCTGTCTTGTGACTGACAGTATTCTGATGCCCTTGGTTATACTTTCCCCAAGCTTAGAAAATAAGGCCGCCAAATACAGATTGTAAGAGGTACTAGTATATCCACACCGTATCTAATGGTTGTTAACAGAGGCCAGTGGCCTGGACTATATAGCTCAATGTAGAGCGCTTGCCTAGCGTGCCTAAGGACCTGGTTCTCTCCCTGGGCTACTTAGCAAGACCCTGTCTCAAAACCCTTAGTAACAGTTTTAAAAGATAGGAGGAGATACAGCTCCATGGTAGAGTGATTGCCTAGCGTGTGTGAGGCCCTGAGTTTGATCCTTGGTGCCACAAAAAAAATAAGTAGGTTTAAAAATGGTTCTTGAAAATATGAGCCCAGGCAGGAGGGAGGGAGAAAGAGATACAGGTATGTATGGATATACAGTGAGTCTTGACAAAAAGTCTGAAAACATGTGTATCAGAGTGTAGTTTTATTTGGATAATGGGATGACCAGTGACTTTTACTTCTTTAACCTGTTATCTGAGTTGATTGTTTTTGTTGCTAATCAGGAAAAAAATTAAAACTGTTTTGTCAGCCATCCTCTGGAACTCCTTAGAAAGTGGTGTCTGGTGGCTGGGGATGTAGCTTAGTGGCAGAGCACGTGCTTGATTCCCCTGTACCTCCTTCCCCCCAAAAAGAAAGAAAAAGACAGTACTTAGTTTCTAATGTCCTTAATGACAGATAAAACTGATTTGCAAAATTGCCTAAAAAGAAGGGTAATTTGGGCTGGGGATGTAGCTCAGTGGTAGTGTTTGCCTAGCATGTGCAAGGTCTTGGATTCCATCTCTAGCACCACAATACACAATAATTAAGGGCAGTTTTTCATCAGACTGCATATTTGGTTTTTAAGTATGGCTGCAAGTATAATGGCTTCATCTCCAAGAGGCACCCCTCACTTGTGATCCACTGTTTGTGGTGGGAGGATGACCAAAGTCCTGAGGGTTGCTGCCACCTAGCACAGTCCCACCCAAGGTCCTGTGGTCACTTGCCGAAGACCAACATCCCGTTGTCTTGGTCTCACCTTCAGTACAAGATCTTGCTGCAAGGCTGCTGGTATGAACTGTTTGGAGGGAGCCCTGATAACTTTCCCACTGAACTGGATGGAGACGACCAGGGACACCTGACACAGCCTCTTCTGGGGGAGCAGAGTTTGCTGACACATTGGTCCCCAGCATACAGCTTCTCCAGTGACTCCCCACTGGACTCTCCCACCAAGTACCCTCCTTTGTACCCCCCCGGCAGGATCATCCACCTAGAGGAAGAAGGAGCTTCTGGGAGGTGAGTGCAAGGGTGTGTGGGCTCCTGGGCCTCCACTGGCCACCAGGGAAAAGCTGAGCTCCTGCCGAGCTTCACTAGGTGCTGTTCTCTTTTCTGTTGAAGGTTTGGGTGCTGTTCTGCTGCTCAGTATAGGGCGAGGTGGGCACATGAAGCGGAATTCAGCAGAATTCTCATAGGCCCAAAGATGCTGACTGACCACATGCCGGACATCCTAATGAGAGCCCTGGACAGCGTGGTGGCCAACAGAGCAGCCTGTCTCTCCTGTCCAGGGCAAGGTATCTCTAACGTGGATGTGGCATGACCAGGCCTACTGGAAACTGCCCCAGAACAATGCACACACATTTGCTCTTGAACTGACTGAGTGACTTCCATGAGGCCAGTACCTGGATGTCTGTGGACAGGAATCTGATTGGCCTTCAATTCAATAGGCTGTGGAATGACTGCAATAAATGGGAGCTACCTTTTTTTATTTTTTATTTTTGGTACCGAGGATTGAACTCAGGACCTTGCACTTGCAAGGCAGGCGGGAGAACCACTGAGCTAAATCCCTGGGCCAGTGGGAGCTACTTTTGATCACAGTATTAGTGGGATCAGGAGCGAAGAGCGCCAAGACATGGGATTCCTGTACAGTGTGGAGGAACCCCTCCCCACAATGGCCACTTGAGAGCTGCCTCAGAGAGAATGAAGAGTGTCTGGAGACCCTAACTGACCTGTATCCTCTCTTGTCAGGGTCTTGTCCTACCACAGCTTAGAAGTCTGAACTTGGATGGCAGGTGTGTGGTTTACTTGGAAGACTATACCCTGCTCCCTACGGCTCCCCAGTTACTGTCTAGGTGTTTCAAACCACAAGAGTTGAATACTAATTCTTGTGTGTCATTCTGCCTCTGGGGCCTGCCAGTGGGTTCAGAGTGAGTTAAAAAAATAAAGCATATTCATAACTTAAGAGTGTCTACACAGTAACGTTTCAGGTAGGTCCCTTTACTGAGTGGTTTCACAGCCATCATGTGGTGTTTTCTTTGTACTGAACAACAAAAATGAAGTCTGGTGTTCTGGCTAATGACTTAAGATGGCACAAGCATCAGAATTACCCACCAGGAGCCTAATAAAAGGAGTTGAGGATTCCTGTCCAAACGGTGGCTTGAGAATGAATCCCAAGGGGGAAGGAAAGCCAGGAGCTCCCAAGATCACCACAGGACTGGGAGGCCTACTGGGAAGGGTCTGTTGGGGAGCTGGGAGAAACCAGGTCCTCTGCTCTGGAGGGTGGGGACTGGACACCAGCACTGGAGGAAAGGGAATGACCTTCCTCAGACCCCCACTCCTGCAACCTTCAGGGAGAAGTCTCCAGAGAAATCTGACCTCAGGAAGCCTTGCTTGGAGCCCTCAGCTGCAGCAGCTACACCTCAGAGCTTTGGAAAACCTGCAAAGGGCCGTTTTTAAAAACTTCAGTTGCAGTATCATGGTACAGCCCAGACCTGCCTCTCCCTAGACGCAGAAAGATAAGGCTAAGGCGACTTGCACTAGAGGTGCCACCCAGTCTGCTCCATTTACCACCAACCTAAAGCATAAGCCAAAGAGCACCAAGATAGGACAAAGGGACAGGAGACCAAAAGTAACAGTGCAGGCAGCTGCTCCAAACAACTCCAGCTGCAGCTGGGGACAGAGAAAGTGCTGGAACCACCAAACTGACCCAGGAGGCTTAAAAGTAGGTATTCAGAAGGTGAGCAAGAACACTGGAAAACAAAGTGGAAATGAAAGGAAGCATTCTAGAAGGTAATAGTTCTAGAAGAGTAGAAAACCAAAACAGGTGTTTCCAAATGGATAAAGCTCATCAAGCACAGGGGACAATAACCATAGGACAAAGAAGACAAAGGAATTCTCACAATATCCATATAACAGTATATCCCAGTGTAATGGAAATGGAAAAAAAAAAAGTGTAAGAGCTTAGTAGCACTGCGCCTGCCTTGCAAGTGCAAGGTTGTGAGTTTGATCCCAGGTTCCACAAAAACCCCCAAAACTAGCTATCACTAACCTAGAATTGTAGATGTGGCCCAAAGTACAGTATCAGTGGAATGGCCATTTTTCAAAGATGCCAGGACTCAATAATACATATTTCCTCAGGAAGCTCTTGGAGAAGCTTTTCATTAGGATGAAGAAGTAAAAGGTGGAGCTGACATGGACAAGAGGTGGTCAGATGACTGAGATTTAGGAAAAATATAATACATCTTGAGCAATTAAACAGATGCAAGCTCACAGTTGAATTACTGAGCACAGAAAACTAAGCACTAATTAGGAAAGGCAAAGTTCAGCTGTTACTAATGATAAGGCTATAAGCAGCTTATGAGGTAATAATCACACAATAAATCATGCAATAAGTCATGGTACTGAGAATAGGATAGCTGTTGGAGGGTAAAGCAGGCCTTTAGCTTTCCGTGACAGGAATGTCAACAGCAAGGGCTAAATCTGAGGTTCAGTTAGCAGGAAAAGCAGGTAATTTAGACATACGGAGTAAATATCAAAAACTACAGCTTAGTATTGCCTCTGGCAAGGGTACAAAGGGGTAAGACTGCTTTTGCAACAAGACTTGAGTGTTTTGTTTTTATGGTGTTAGGCACCGTACTGGTGAGCTACACATTCCCCAGATCCTGCAAGTTTTAGAACTAAGAGTTTATGCTTTTAAACTCCTTATTTAGCTCTGGTTAAAAAAGAAAAGCTTTCAGTAAAAACTGATTATAAACCTTGTGGTCTAAGTTCAGGCTCTGGCAAAGATCCCGTTTGTGTAGTCCACCCAGCATCCAGGATAAGCTTTGCCTGACTCACCATGGGGAATCTCAGCCTTCAGCTCTGGCCCATGGTATGTGCACATAAGCCTGCCCGCCTGCCCCACATGGGTCTTTCCACAGCACGATCTAGCAAATCCCACCTGCCACCCCCGCTGCGTTCTTCAGCTGTGGACTTGCTCACCTCTTCCCCTGGAGGTGGCACTCCCTGCGTCCCTCCAGTGTGAAATGAACACATCCAGCAATCCTGGATCTTAAAGACACACACCGAAAGCTTGTTCATCAAGTTCTCAAAAATTCAAGTATTACCAGTCATATGATTCAAGGATTTATTAAGTCATACATGCAAAATATACTGCTAATTGCATTAGCAAAAGATCAATGTAAAAACACTCCACAATTCCGCAACCGTCAATTAAAAAATTCTGTTCTAGTGGTTGAAAGGTCTGACATTGTGTCGCCAGTGAGTTAAGTTGTACAGAACATCGTTAGCACTAGCAGTTTACAGAACCTCACAAACCCAAAGGAGCATCATTAGGCAAAGCCACAACAGGAAGTGTGTGTCCGTGTGGGTGAGGTAAAGAGGGTCCAGTCAGTGTTAGTCACGTGACAGTGTTGGTAATCTGGCAAGACAGTGATGTTAAGAAGGTTCAGGTTCAAGAATATCTAAAATATTTTAAAAATTGTAAAGCAGCAACACATGATTTTTACACCTAGTTACTAGAAGACTAAAGCAAGCACTTAATTAGCTTTGAATAAAGTAACATGAAAACAGGAATGCACTTTTATTAATCTACAAAAAAACTTCTAATGCATTATCAGAAAGATTTTATAGTACAAATAGGTATATTGCTCATTAAGAAGGGGTTCTATTAGAAAAGCACTTACTAAGTTAGCAACTATGGGAATGACCAGTTCAAAGATGAATTAAACACCCAATTCTGGGAAGGATGGCAAGTGTAGGAAAAAGAAAAAGCTTAAGACACGCTGTAATACCAACCTTTCTTCATCTACTGCACTTGACAGAAATTAACCTTAAAATCTTCACCTGTGACACTTTCTATTCAGTTGAGTTATTCCATGTACAATGTAGTGTAAATTAATCTCCACTTCATATTTTGTCAAAATACTGTCTTCATCCTTTGATCTCGTCGTGTTTCACACACTCCACCCATCACACCCATGACTAGGAACAGAATACTTCATTAGAGCAAACACAGGAATGAGAGTTCTGTTCCAAGTCTCAGCAAAATCTAGTAAACTGATTTAAAAAGAAAAACCTCACTATGAAACCAAAAAGATTGATCCAAAGAGTGAGATGTTACACCCATCCCATTATGACATACAGTACAGAGGTACAGAATGAACATGGGCTGAGAAGTTACTGACGCATTACACAGCAACATGTCATTAAGGAGGCTGTTCTGCTTCACTCGATCTGAAAGCTACTTGGACAGTATCTGCGCCTCCTGATTTCAGAAGCTGCAGTCTTCTTACAAGGTCTTTCAAGTTTAGTGCTTAGGGTTCTTAGCACAACACCACAACTTAGTTCAGAAGGTATTTTGGCAACTTTTAATCTGAGCAAGGATAGGGGCTTTTGAAAAATAAGGCTTTAAGAAGGCTTGTCATTTTAGGGCTAAATTTTAATATGACGTGAGTTTGAACTCTTACATTTAAAACAAAACCTTAAAATTACTGATTGGTTCAAAATGGTTTTATGGTAAAATTAATCTGTAACAAAAACTTGGCATTGAGTGCGAAGGCTCCACCGTTTTTTTGAGCAAAGCGTACAAAGGTTCCAAGGGACAGGACCAAGAACTAGACTCGGACATTTACAACAGCAGGCATTTTCTCTTCCTCTTCTTGACAGGAGGTGGGCAGAGAACTGCTCGGATAGCTTCGTCAAACACTGTCTTGAGGCCCCGTTGGGTGAGAGCTGAGCACTCCAGGTATTTTACAGCACCTGCAAGAAACACGGCCAGATGGTACTGTACCACAGGACACGACTTCTGAGCAGCCCAGCAGTGAGGCAGCTCACCTGGGGCCAGGCTTGGCATAGTGTGGCAGGACCAACCACTACCCCTATATTGCCCCCCAGTACCCCAAGGACCAGATGGCCTTGTTTAGCTGTTTCCCCAAAAGTAAACCAGACCCTGAGAAGGAGAAACACTCTCTGCTTTCCCAAACTGGAGTCTCATCTATCAACAGACAAAAGCAGGGACAAAAAAGGCAGGATTTCATACCTATCTCCTTAGCCATGGCCAAGCCCTGCGGATAGGTGATGGGAGTCAGCTTCTTCTCCTTCAGTTTCTCAATTGTGTCTTTATCATCCCTAAGATCAAGTTTTGTTCCCACTAAGATGATGGGAGTGTTGGGACAATGGTGTCGCACTTCCGGGTACCACTGTATGGGAAGAAAGAACAAAAGCTGTACTACTGTCCTCCTTTACAGATGACCTTCACCAAGACCACATTCAACAGATGCCCAACTGGGCCAAGCATCCCAGCTCAGCCACCACTGCTCCAGTCTCCTTGTACTTCACAGCTTCCCCACAGTCCCTAAAGAGCGCAAAGGAAGATCCAGCCAGGACGCCCCAGATTTAGGATCTGGAGAACAGGCACTGCCTGTCAAGGGACTGAAGGAAGAAAAGGGAATAGCAGAAAGGAGAGAAAGGAAGGTACCCTAAAAGGAAAGCACTCTGTTTTGGGGGAAACAAGTCAATTCTTAGAGCCATCTCAAAAAAAAAAAAAAGAATCATCATCTCTTCAGAGAAAACACAAACTACCCAGGGGAGTGTGCATCTCTGCTCCACTGTCTTCACTGAAAAATACTCCTGACTGCTGTAACAAAAGCATCTTTCACTTGGTAAAAGATGTCTGAGTAGAAAGAAATGGTGTTAGCACAACTCCAAAGTTCTTTGTTACTTTATTGAGGGACTCCTACCTTCTGAATAATACCTAAAGCTTTAAGAAAGCTGTATCCTAAAGCCATATGCTTCAAAACTGATGATGTACCTAAGAACTAATCTAAATAATGAGAATTCCTAACAGTAAATGACATTTTACTTTTTTTTCTTTTTGGTACCGGTGATCGAACTCGGGTCCTTGTGCTTGCGCAGCAGGGTGGCGAAACCACTGAGCTAAATCCCCGGCCCTGACATTTTACTTTTAAATACTATTCTTCTCGAAAGTGATATTTGTAATTTTAAAAATTTTTGTGGTGCTGGGGCTCAAGCCCAGGGCCACTACCACTGAGCTACATCCCCATCCTTCTAAAAATTTATTTTAAAAAACCCCCACTTACCTTTGCACGGACATTTTCAAATGATGCAGGACTCACAAGAGAAAAGCAAATTAAGAACACATCCTATAAAAAGGAAACACAGGTAAACTTTCAGAAAACAATCTTAAAATGATGATTGCACTTTGCTTTCAAAATGCTGCTGAACTAACTGATCATGGGACATGGTGCATGCCTACTGGTACCAGCAGCTAAGGTCAGACACCCGCTCCCCGTGCACCCCTGTAATGTCAGCTCCAAGACCAGAACCAGCACCTCAAGCAACCAATGACCTGGGAGAAAGGGAGAAGAAGTAAAGGTAGAAATATGCCAGCCAAGCCAGACCCATGGGAGGCCTCTTCTACCACTCCCAACTCTTGATTGGGCATCTAATTATCTGTTATAAATAGACAAAAAAATTGGGATGGAACTATACCAAATGTGATTTGTTTCCCAAAAGCAGAGTCAATATAAAAGAAAATTATTTACAAAAGTATGTGTTCATTAAGCTCTCCATTTGCATGTGAAGTACAAACATTTTTAGATCATCACTAGCTCCAATTAACCGCTTGTCACAGTCCCTGGGACAGCTGCTGCCTGGGCCCTTCCCTCCCTGGGGAAGAGTTTCAGAAGTGACATCCTCCCTGCTGACAGCCACCCTCACATGTCACAGCTTCTGAGGCTCAACCTGGGGCTCAGGAGAACTGGCCCCCAGGGAGCTGTGACTAAAATAGAGATGGAAAGGAAAAGCAGTGTGGAATACATGCTTGGACAGTGTTTCTAGATAAATATGAAATACTGAGTTTTTCTTCCCACTGGGTATTCTACATAAAGTAAAATTCAAATATTTACCTTTATAAAAAATGCTTAAGAGTTTGTAAAATGCTAGGCTTATAAAACATCCCTAGAAAAAGGCAATTACGCTACTTTGTGAAATGATACAATTCCCAAGCTGGCACTTTAAACCATCCCAGCTGGTTATCTTGTACCTGAAAAGGAAAGAAACATCCCACAACAGCTTTTTATAAATTACATTGTGTAAATGCTGGCACATGCACAAGCTTGCCCCAGAATCACCACGGCCTCCAAGATGATTGCAAACCATCTCAAAGCATGGGCAGGTTAGCTCACCAGCGCCGCTCAGCTGCCCAGACAGCCCACCAAACAGGACAACACAGTAGAAAAGGCCCTGGCAGCAAGGTTAGTCCTGCTCTGGGTCAGCGCTCAGCCACCCTCTTGAGCGCCCAGGTGGGTTGTCCCAGCTAGAGAGGCCCCCTCCCTAAGCCCTCCTCCATCTGGGAGGAGGGAAGCAAGCAGCTCACACACTGCTTCAATCCAGCTCCAATCCAGCTTATTTCATCAAGCAAACCCCACCTTGAGTGAATTAAATATAAAACACTCAAGGAACTTGAGGCTCAGTAAGAATTCCTAGGAAAACTAAGTGAAATGAGAGAACAGATAAGCTTGAGACTGAAGTCGATTGAAAGTCTTACATACGGCAATCGGCTTGTCTTTGCCCCTGGAGGTTATATCCTTACCATACGTGTCTCCAACCTAGTAATGCACGAGAACTTGGTTTGAGTTCAGGAAAAGTGAGGAAAATAAAAATCAATATAACCTTTTGTCTTTATCAGAATTTTGTATCAATGTTCCCAAGGGATCTAAAAGCATATGATGACCTAACACATCTTTAATGGCAAACCCCACCAAATCCCTCCATGAAACCTGGCAAAGATGGTATGTCCCACATGCAGCGACAGTGGGGAAGTCGGGAAACACTGGGGTTGCAGAAAAGGTGCTCCTTCTATCTGCAGCAGCTCACGGCAGAATGTGTCACATTCCCATGAAGCTGGAAATGTGAAAAAGGTCCCTCAGCATAAAGCCTTTGTCTGTTGCTGGCATCCACTAGCAACAGGTGCTCCGTGCAAGTTCTCAAGATCCAAGCCCCGCTAAAGCCTCCGAAAACAGGAAAGGACTGGCCTGTGAGCCAGACCAAGGGCTCTCCCAGGACAGGCTGTGGGAGCTGACAGCCTGATGCTGTCTGAACGTCAAGGCTCCCGTACAGAACCTGTGTACCTGTCTCCTTCTTCTGAGCAAGGTTTGGATTTATGGACTTGTGTTACTGAAATGAATGGTGTTGCTCAAACCAAGACCTTCAATTCCAGAAGCCTTTGCAGAAGTTTTAGAAATGTATCATCTTGTGGTTTGCGTTTGTTTGATACAGGGTCTGGCTATATAGATGTGGCTGTCCTTGAACTCACTATGTAGCCCAGGCTGGCCTTGAGCTCTAGGCGATCCCCCCACCTCAGCCTCCCACTGCTGGATTACAGCCACAGCCATGCACCACCATGCCCAGCTTGTCTTTATCACAATGCTTTCAAATTCATTTCTTTGTTCCAATAAAACTCAACAGACAACGCTTTCAACACAGAACCTTGGAACTCTACTAAGAAAAGAGCACACAAGAGAACTGTTTTAATTTCATCTCACTAAGCCTTGATTTATAATTCAAACAGAATACTTCTGTAACTATTCCACTTTAATCTGTGGGCTATTTTTGAAGATCCCCCCTGCAAGGACTTTGCATGATACCAAATCTTTACCGTGACAGACTCATGAGAATCAGTCACAGAAACAGAAGTTCCAAAATATCCTCTAACTGCACTTGTGCCCTTTTCAATTTTTATTTATTTATTTTTTTGCCCTTTTCAATTGTTAAGAACACATTTTTCAATGAAGAAGAGACATGCAGAACAGGAGCCTAGCAGTTCCACTTCCCACCCATGTGAACGTCGGCGCCATCTGCCTGTTCCTCCCTTGTTCCTTCTTCCCTCCACCTAAATATAGCTTTTAGAAAACCCATCTGCTGCTTCTGATACTGACTTTCTACCACTGGTTCCTTCCAACTGGGGTTTCTTGCTGCTGCAACACAGAAATTATGCTAACTGACCTTGGCCGCGTCTCTTCTTCCCTGTCCCGGTCACACTCACGGAGCAGCCTCAGGAGCACCTCTTGCTTTCAGTCTCTCCCTGTGCTTCCTCACAGGTGACTTCTGTCACAGTGACACTAGTCACTGGCCTACCTTCCTGTGCACTTGAAAGCTGCTTTCCTCAAATCACCAGAACACTTCTGACTATGCCACATGCATAGTCAGTGGTTTCATTACTTCCTTCTCCCTCACAGGTCAAAAACTACCTTGGCCCCTCTGCCACAGAGCTGCAATCCCCCCAAGACAGGCTAGCTCAGCTCATGGCAGTAGGAAACTGGGGCGAATATTTGGATGAGCTGAAATCTCACTAAGCCAAAAGCAGTATCATTTCCTTCATTTTAGTTTCTTGCAAATACTTTCCACCTGGACTTTGCTTTTAGGCATGGAATTTTTCTTTTTTAAAGACAGGGTCTTGCTATGTAGCCTAAGCTGGCACTGAACTTGCTATGTAGCTGGCCTTGCGCTCTTGATCCTCCTGCCTCAGCCTCCCAAGTGCTGGGATTACAGGCATGTGTATCACACCAGACTAAATTAGTTTGTTTTAAATATAGGCACTTTTATGCACACAAAAAAGGACCCGGATATATACACATGGCAGAGAAATGGCAGAACTAAAAAAAAGGTGGACATGTGTCATCAGTGAGGATTTTCTAAAAAAAAAAAAACCAGCTCAGAAAAAGAACAGCAGCCCGACACACGGGAAGCAGCCTGGCCCCACAGCTTCACCACAGCCAAGGTACCCTCCAGAACACCCACTGCAGAAGTGACTGTGGTGAGATGACACCCAAACTAACCAGAACCCAAAAGACCACTCATAACCTTGACTAAGGGCAGACAGACCCACAGCCACTGGGTAAACTACAGAGCCATGCCACCCTGAGGATCGATCTACTTTACCAATCACAGCTTTAGCCTTGCTTTATTCCCCACCTTCTAAAGATTTATTAAAATACATGACCTGAATTACTCTGCAACTGACAGCTTTCAGCCAGAGCAAATGCCTCCTTTCTGAAGCCCTGCTCCCCTTGGTCACACAACCCAGATCCAGATCCAGACTCCACCCCACAGCCCCTAAGTGTGGCCCCTGGGGCAAACAGTAAGAAATCCCATTCCATGTGTTCCTAATGACCTTTGGCTGGAGGACTTGGACACCTGTAACAGCCAACTTAACAAAAGCTTTGAAAATCAGGCCTTTGAAAATCAAAACTGCCCAGCCAGTGTGGTTTTTCTTTTTAATCAACATTACAGCAGTTGAGCCCAGCACTAAAAAGCCTTCCTCAAAGCAGAGCACACAAAGAAACTGCAAACACCCCACTGAAGGAACAGAGTCCCAGCATCTCAGCAAACAGGCCACATGCCTGAGTGAGACACCCACAGGGAACAGCCCTGTGACACTGACACACCCTCCTGTTCCCACTCACATCACTAAATTCTGGTGCATGTAGGGAAACATATATGACTGACACCATATGAGATGTGGAGATTCTAGCATACCAACTGAAGATGAGCATGCTGAATTGACAAAAGAGTTAAGAGAAAGTAAAGCTAACTTACTGAAGAATAGAAAAGCTGTAGGGATTGCTTAATTTGGAAAAATAAAAACTGGAAGGGAATTTCACCTGAAAATGATACTGCCTGTTCTCAATATCTTTTGGAGAACAAATCAGAAACTAGTAGTTTAAAGAGATTTAACTTAGTTACACAGGACTGCCCAACATAAGCAACACTAAATGACCACAGGAAGCATAAATCTCTTCTCAAGACTCCCTTAAGTAAGAAATCTTCCACCTGATCCTTCAGCAGTGAATCTGAGCAGCCTGCGGTGAGCCACAAAGGACTGCAGCCCAAAGAGCCAAAACTGGACACCAGATTCATTCATCACAAAGGTTAGAGGTTCCCCTTTATCAACGAGAGACTGAGGTGCCAGCCTGTAGCTCCCAAGCCTTCCCCTCAGAAAGACAAAGTGGCCTGAGAAATGAGCCCTGCCAGGCACCAGTGTGTGAGCATCCCAGGCCTGCTCCTAGTGGTCAAGACTGTCTCCTCGTCTCCAAGGAGCCCAGGGAGACAGGTGCATTCTCCAAGGAGCCCGTGGGTGGGGTGCATTCTGCCCCTTAAGCACCCCACTCACCACCAGCCATGCTTCCAGGTGGTGGGTTATGTAGCAATTAGTTTACTTTCTACACTACTGGAGAGAAAGAATGGCTTACTTCCTTTTGCTGCTCAAGTATTTAATAGGGAAACCATATACCTCTATACAAAGATGGGACATAGTTTAAATCTTAGCCCCAAAAGGACGACACCCACTTTGATTTCAGCCCTCACAAACTACAGCTTTATTCAGCCTGAGAAGAGTCCACTTTCCTTATCTGGGTTCCTCAAGGCAGAGTGGGACTCTTGCCAAGTGTCCTTTGACTGGCTAGAAGTAATTCCCGTAGAAGAAAAGGCCTCGCCCTATCATCTACCATACCTCTTGAGTCACAGAGGGTTGGTTCTCATTTCTCCAAAGTGATGCCACACCCTTCCAGATATATCCAGGGGGTAGAGACTCCTACTCTACCACTCATTGAGTTTTTAAGCACACTTAAAAATCTGGACTTTTCAGGGCCCGGATTTAGCCCAGCAGCATAGCGCCTGCCTGGCAAGCATGAGGTCCTGAGTTCGATCCCCAGTACCAAAAAAACCCAACCCCCCCCCAAAAAAACCCCAAATTCTGGACTTTTCAAATTCAAAGCCCACTGAATATAAAATAATTTCCCAAGACACTGAAGAATTTGACTCATTTGATGATTATGAGCTGATTTTTAATCCTTAACCATAGTTAAGTATCTTTCTATAGATTTTTGTGAGAAACCATCCAATTCAAAACTTCTACATTCTATTACTGGTCTTTATGTAGCACTATTAACTAAAATTCAGCTAAAGGACAATTAAATCTACAAAAATCTACAGCTCAAGTAAGACTATATTTGGCAATACTTCCAGGAGGAAACAAAATGTACAAGATGACTGGAGGGGAAAACCTGTATATAAAAGTTCAGAACTGACGGGCCTGGTAGCACATGCCTGGAACCCTAGCTAATAAGAGGCTGACACCGGATTCAAGCCCAGTGAAACCCTGTTCAAAATTTTAAAAGGACTGGACAAATCACTTGCCAAGCATAAGCAACACTCTGGGTTCACTTCTCAGTACTACAATCAATTGATCAATACTTAAAAATCTGGCTGGGGGACATTTATTACTGAACTAATTTACTTGCTATTACTCAATGTATCCAAATCATGGCAACGTAAGTAAATATGTACACAGGTGATATGTATTAATTAAATACTGAAGTGTTACATACTCTACGGGACGCATTAAAAAATCAGTTGTGATTCTTACTGTTTGCGGATAGGAGAGGGGACGTAATCTGTCATAATCTTCTTGTCCAGCTGTATCCCATAAGCCCAGATTCACTGGTTTTCCATCTACCATAACATTGGCAGAATAGTTGTCAAAGCTGTAGAATGGATAAAAACTGTTAGTCACAGACAGTGGATCCCAGTCACAGTCCTAGCAGCAACCCAGAGATGTGCTGACAAGCAGGGAACGGACTTCAGTCTGCCAAGCAGAAAATGCCCCTGAGGCATGAGAAGGCAGAGCCTGGAGGGCAGGGGGCAGGAAGGTCCTAGGAATCAACCACACACACTGAGAAAAAAATGCCTGAAAAACAAAGGACCACCTACTAAATTTAAGTGAGAAAACTGTCCCAATTAAAGAAAACCCCAGGCATAGTTGTACACATTGTAATCATAGGCACTCAGGAGGCCAACACAGGAAGGTTTTAATTTCAAATCAGAGGCCTGCCGGGGCAACTTAGCAAGACCCTGTCTCAAAAAATAAAAATAAAAAGGGGCAAGCGTGGTGGTGCATGCCTGTAATCCCAGAGTTCTGGAGGCTGAGGCAGCAGGACTGCAGCAAGTCTGAGGCCAGCCTAGGCTACACAGTGAGTTCAAGGCCAGCCTGAACTACATAGTAAGCCCGTGTCTCAAAAAACAAAAAAAAAGAGCTGAGGATATAGGTCAGGGCTCCCTGGGTTCAATCCCTAGAACTAACAAAACAAAGAAAAAAACCTGCCTTTTTATTATTATTTTTTTTGGAACCGGGGATCGAACTCAGTTCCTTCCACTTGTGAGGCAGGCGGCGGAACCACTGAGCTAAATCCCTGGCCCAAAACCTGCCTTTTTAATAGAAAGTGAAGATTTTTCTCCCCAGGGAAAAATAAAGTGTAGAATCAGTCAACTCTTTGAAATCCCACCTGATGAGTTTTTCATGTACATATTTTTCTCATTTTTCAACAAGCATTTCCAAAGTGTATGCATGAGTGTAAGGTGGTAGCTGGTAGTCTTGGTCATCTGTGCCAGAGTGAAATGGTAACCCAAAACATAGCTCAATTTACAACCCATCCAAAACGTTTTCAAAGTGAGTGGACCTGATCACATAAATGTTTAAATTAGCTTAAAGTTGTTATGCACAGTTAACTATAAGAGGCAACCCAGAAGTCATTAATTAGATACAGGCTGTCAAGAGAGAAATAAGACTGATTTAAAAAGTGCTGCTGGAGGGCTGGGGGTTTAACTCAGTGGTTCCAGCGCCTGCCTCGCAAGTGCAAGGTCCCGAGTTCAATCCCCGGTACCAAAAAAAAAGTGCTAGAATAAAGAGGGAAACATTTTAAAAACAGGTATTTTAATTTAAACCAAGGTAAGTACCTTACACATCAACTTTAAAAGACAAGGCTTTATCTTTATGTACTAATACCAAAATTGTATGGTTCCAACATAATGCAAGATCAGAGTCAAAGTCTAAAAGGTTTCAATGTGATTTACAGAATTTAATTACACCACTATCTTTCTTTTTCTATTTTTTAAAAATTAATTTTACTGGTATATTTTAGGTATACAATACAATGACATTCATCATTGGAAATCTGCATCAACTAGCTTTCATAAAAAAGTTTGAGGAATGTGGTAACTCTGCTTCCACAAGAAAAATTATTCAATAAATGGTCCTATTGTATTTTCCAACAAACCAAAAAATGCCACCAAAACCAAAACCAAACTACTCAGATGCTTAAGCCAGGTGTGGTGGCACACAGCTATAATCCCACCACTCAGGAGGCTGAGGCAGGAGGGTCACTGTGAGTTCAAGGCCGGCCTAAACTACACAGGAAGACCCTATCTCAAAAACACAAAACAACAAAAAAAGCAGATGCTTACCTTGTATTATACAAAAAATGAAATCTGAATGAACTAAAGACAAAAACTTTAGTCACAAAAATCCTAAAAATAGTAGACAGTATTCACACATCACTGAAATAGGAATGGCCTTCCTAAGCATGAGGTAACACTTTATGAAATGGTAGAGATACCATTATTTACATAAAATTTTAAATATCTAGATAGCAGAAAAAAAACATAATGAAGTTCAGAGACAAATGACTGACAGTATTTATAAGATGTTCTATCAGTAAGAAAAAATTTCACTGGAAAATTAGCGAAAGATTTCAATAGACAATTCTTCAACTACAAATAGACTGGGAATACTCTCAAGATTTTAATTTCACTAATGATCAGATATGCAAATGATGAGATAATTTTCTTTCAACCCGTATTAGTCAGAGTATGTATGACAAGGCCATTTTCAGTCACATCAAGCAATGACAAGCCTTTTGGACAGCCATTTAGGAAGAAAAGCTGAGTATTCCTTATCTAAAATGATTTGGACCAGAAACATTTAAAATTTTGGATTTTTAGCCAGGCACAATGGCACATGCCTGTAATCCTAGGACTAAGGAGGCTGAGGCAGAAGAATGACTGCAAGTTCGAGGCCAGCCTGGGCTACATAGGGAGTTTAAGCCCAGCCTGAACTACACAGTGAGAGCCAGCCTCAAAAAATATAAATAAATAAAATTAAATTTTGGGTATTTAGATTTTGAAATCTCTGTTATCTTGGGGATGGGATCTAATACAGAATTCATTTGTTTCACATACACCTTAGACACATAGTCTGGGAAGTAGTTTTATATAATATTTTTAATAATTTTGTACATGAAACAAAGTTTCATGATACAGAATTTTCCCCTTGTGGTATCATGTCAGTACTCAATAAATTTTGGATTTGGGGGCATTTTGGATTCCAAATTTTCACATTAGGGATACTTAACCTCTATCAACATTTAAAATACCAATTCCCCTTTGAGGTGACAATTCTACTTCTAATAATCTGACAGATGTGTACAAAGATAGATGCAATGACATTTAACACAGTACTGTCTGTAATGCTAAAAGAAGGGGGGGACACGCAGGGGGGCAGGGATTTAGCTCAGTGGTGTCACTGCCCGCTGCGCAAGCGCAAGGTCCTGAGTTCGATCCCTGGTACCAAAAAAAAAAAGACCCAGGGAGCAGTGGTATAATCACAGCACATAATTGTTAAGGAAGCTCTACCTACACAAGTGGAGAAGGAAAATGCCCACCATAAATTTGGGACAATCAAAACACAAGGTTTCCACTCCTATTTTTAAAATGTACACAACACTACCCATGGCCCCCAAGTAGTGTGTTGTACTTGGGGAGGGCAGATGTGAGACTTCTCCCCCACTGTGCCTGCTTAACCAGGAGGCAAAGGACAGGGACATGCAGCTCACTGCAGCCACAGGGCGGTGCACTCTGAGGCCTGGCTACTTGAGGTCTCTGGCAGCCCATCATCAGAAAAGCACTTTTCCTTCTCCACCCAATTCTGCAGCCCATGGGGGATAAGCAGCCCAACAGCCAACTGCATCCTCCTTTATCCCCACCCTGGATTCAATTCTACAGCCCTGTAACTGACAGTGACATGGAACCAATGGGTCAATTGCCAGAAAAGGCTAATTAAAACCTAACAGAATACTTTGTATTCCAGTTCCCACCGAGCCAAATTTATCTGACATTCTTAAACTCACAAGAACTGTCTCTAACCAAACTTTGGTCAGATTTTCTTGGTGTGTGTGTGTGTGTGTGTGTGTGTGTGTGTGTGTGTGTGTTTAAACAGGGTTTCACTCTGTAGTTCATGCTGGCCTCCAACTCTTAAAAGAGATCCTCCTGCCTCAGTCTCCCAAGTGCTGAAATTAGAGCTACCACACCCAACATGATTTTCTTTACCAAACTTATCCAGTCTCCATAACATCATACTCAGCTTAACTTTGTTTCTGAGTATCTAAAAACCAATTGGGAAAGCTGTGTTCGTTCTATAATATGAGAAAACTATAAATTGACTAAGTATTTTTTAAAGCCCAAAATATGATTAGATTCTACTCAAGGTATGAGAGGAAAACAAGTATCAGATAATATAAAGGTTAAGAAAGACTTTATAGCAAAACAAATGGCCAAAGGAACTGGATAAACAGACAAGTAAATTCCCAATTTAACTGAAGATACTTACACAGTGGGGATATATTCTCCGGGAAATGCATTGGTTGTATAACTGATCAGTAGGCAAGTTTTACCTACAGCTCTAAAGAGAGAGAAAAAAAAGCTTAGTCAACATCAGTGTGATTCCCAGCTTTTATTATTATTATTCTGTTAAAATAATTTCTAGAAAAATCAAGGAGTTTACATACCACATTCTTAGCATTAAACGATCAGTTTCTATAACCTTTACTTTAACACTATGCAGACATTTTTATCCTGAAACTCAAAGTAAACAACCTAGAATTTTTCAGCAAGGTAGATCTGGGAGCCATCTGGTTCTATTAAGGTATGTGACATTAACACCAGTAGTCAAGAAATAGTTGTTAAATAAGAACAAGATTCAAGAGGAGCAACAGTTTAAAGTCTAAAATCTCTTCTGTGAACATCTGTAGAAGGCCAAGCATTTTAAGTTCTATCCCCAGAGTATGCAGATTAACACTAACATGTAAACACAGCTTGCCTGTGCAATACATACATTTTGTTCCTTGTATGCATACTAACTTATTTTGCTGTCTCTAAGTGGCACAGCTCAAACTCCTGTCACTTTCCAAAAGCCTTTCCCTTGACAACCAGTTGAGTGTTCTCTTAATAAGAGTGCTTAGATAACAAACCACCACACACAACTGTTCTTGCATTGATTCATCTGTATGCATTGCCACAAGCTTCCTTCACCAAAGCTTTTTTTTGGTACCGGGGATCAAACGCAGGACCGTGCACCTGCAAGGCAGGCGGTGGAACCACTGAGCCAAACCCCTGGCCCTCACCAAAGCTTTTAAAGCAGGGGCTAACACAACATGTCCCAGACACATGAGTTAATGGCTCTAGGAAGAGGGAGTAACTTACCAAACAGCTGCAAAGAGAAACTACAAGAGAAGGATGCAGAAATACTCCGGTCAGAAGCAATGCCTGCACAACTACGAAGGGGTACACACTATATCAGTATTACCGGTGTGCCATCAGGCACAAGTCAGGGTAGTGGATCAAAGTCCCCAACTACCTCAACTTTTTTTTTCAAGAAAATATTCCTAAAAATTAAGATCACTGGACCATTTGCAAAACAATTTTAAAAATTTAAAACTTTTAAATCCAGGGCCGGGGATTTAGCTCAGTGGTTCTGCTGCCTGCCTCACAAGCACAAGGTCCTGAGTTAGATCCCCGGTACCAAAAAAAAAAAAAATTTTGAATCCACATACAACATTCACAGGTAAACTAGAGGGGCTTCAAGTCCCAGGCATTCCAAGGGCTCATTTCACTAAATGCTGTTCACAATGAGCCCAGTTCCCTGCTATTGTTGGTTTGCCAAGGTCAAGACAACACAATGGTATTAAGATTTTTTTTTTTCCTTTTTCTTTCTTTTTTGTCTCATGGTCTCATTATGTAGTTCAGGCTGGTCTTGAACTCACTATGAAGCCCAGGCTGGCTTCAAACTTACAGTGATCCTTTTGCCTCAGCCTCTTGAGTACTGAGATCACAGGTGTGAGCCACCACACCTGGCAGTGTTAAGATTTTGTTGTTCAACTTCAACTACTATAAATCAGGATTCACCATAAAGAAGGTACGTGCTTTTCTATTTTCCCCTCACACTCCAGCTTAAAGGAAAAAATGCCTCAACAAGGGCAGATTATATTAATGGCCCATTCAGTCTTGCCAATACTTGTTTTACTCCTAACACTATTAAGTGCTTAACAAAACTTAGAACTTCCCACCCCAAAGACCTCACAAACATTACTTCATCAGGAGGTAACCTCCAACTCTTATTAGTCTTTCTAAACAGAAATGACTCATTGGATACACATTCTGTAAAAGGATTAGAATGTCAAAATAAACCTAAAGAGCAAAAGCCTAAGATGGAGAGTCAAAAGCCTGGATATGACATAGAGCCAACTCTACCACTTAGTAGCTGTCATTTTTTGACAAGTTCCAACTTCCTCATATGCCTCAGTTTTCTTGCCCATAAAATGGATGCAAAACTACCAATCCTTCACCAAACTATTGTGAGCTTTAATTCAGTTTCAATTTAGACTAAGTATGTGCTTTGCCAGGAAGTATACTAAGTGTTAAAGATAATGCAATGGAGACTTCTTGCAGTATATGCAGTTATTAAATAAAAACTAAGAATAAAAACTAAAAGTATGAGAGTGTTATTAAAGATGCTCTGGAAGTATATAGCCAAAGATCTAACCTAGTCCTGGGGAAAGCAGAGAAGACTGTGATATACATTAAGTCTACCATGAATGGGAATTCGAAGGTAGAACAAAAGCAACAGCCTATGAGGAGGCCCAGAGCTAAAAGAAGCCTAGTATAATAGAAGAACAAAGAAATACGGGGGAAGGGATAGAGGAAAATTTGAAGAGGTTGTCATTTCTTGTGGAGGATGTGGGATTGAGCCTACTTGGGAAGGCACAGGAGGGTCTGAGGTTGCCAAGAACACATTAGATTTTAGAAGAAACCTCTCAGTGCACCATGGAAAGGGGCCTGAAGAAGCTAGGACTGGAGGCAGGAAATAAGGAAGCAGGTGCTGTGTTCCACTCCCCGACCCACTCCACCCCTCTGCAGTGGTCTGGACCAAGCAGGGGACTGAAGGTGGAGATGAGCAGTTTCAGGAGCTCCTCAGTTTCGAGGCAGTGCACTGGATGTGGTAGTTGAGGAAGCAAGTAGATGGCAAGGCCATGACAAGTGAACCCTTTTTCAAAATGATAAATGTTGTATAGAAAACATTAACAACCTTTGCCACTTTTAATGTCAAAGATAAGCACTTCTTTTTTTTTTTTGGTACCGGGGTTTGAACTTGGGACCTTGCACTTGTGAGGCAGGCGGTGGAACCACTAAGCTAAATTCCCAGCCCTAGCACTTCTTTTAAGATCCAATTCTGGGTCAGGGATTTAGCTCAGTGGTTCTGCCGCCTGCCTCGTAAGTGCAAGGTCCTGAGTTCAATGCCCGGTGCCAAAAAACAAAAAAAAAAACCAAAACCAATCCTGAGTCTTTTTTATGTATATGAAGATAAAAGCTATTACTGTAGATATGTTGTTTTTGTTTTGTTTTTTGGTGACCTTGCACCAAAAGGCAAGGCAGGCGGTGTATTACTATAGATATGATCAACCGTGTCATTTTAGAATGATCTAAAATTTCCTTTCTTGAAATTTATCTTCAACTGAGGGATCATCTTTTGCAAGGCTTAACCGTGGAGAAATTCAAGGTATTGACATAATATGATATTGGCTGAAAATTTATTACAAGTCATTACTTGCTATAATTCTATGTTCTAAGAACATGACTAAATTATAGAATTGACTTTTAAAGTAAGTACATGCTCTATCTTTAATTTTTACTTGATTCTTAGAAATTGATAACAAAAATAAATGGTTATTTCCCTTTTGTTACTGCATTTATTCATCTCTTGTTAAACACATAGCATGAATCAATTCTAGAGGCCAAAACCAACATCTGCACTAGGCAAAGTAACAGGAAGCATGTATACACACAAAGAATGAAAGCTGTATCGGTCACATCCCTGACATGCTGCTGAAGAACTTCTGGAAGTTACTACGGGGGGAGGTCCTCAATTTCACGTATTTAAGAGTCTAGAAAGGCCCTGGGTCCAATCCTCAGTAGGGGTGGGTGTTGGGGTGTGGTTCAACCTCTTTTTAATCTTGAATCTACTGGAAGAAAGTTCACGTCAGTTCTATATTGGACTTTCCCCTAGCGCATGACATTTCTTTTTTTGTTACCCTATCCTATCTGTTTCGCCTGGTGTCCTGTAGAAATAATATGAAAGCCAGTGACTTATGCTCTATTATGTTTTTCATTTGGCAATTAAAAGAATTTTTTCTTTACTTTAAGATAATTTGCTTTTAGGACAGAAAAACCACACTGTTCCAATGACAAATGTAAATACAGAGCATGTAATGTTGCCTCAAAGTATAAGGATTTAAGGATTAAGAGGGTAGTAGAAACATGAATTATAAAGTACCAAATATACACTCATACTCATCGAATAAATGAAAGACCTTGAATGAAGGACTTCAATTTACCCTGACAAATAAGGTATGGAGATTCTGTAACAGTAAGCCTTCCACCAATGTATACCTATGAAGAGATTCTGTTCAGAAAAATACGTGAACTAGTAAGAGTAGTTCAGTGATACAAAACAAACAAAAAGCCCTGAAATACTGAGGCTATACAACCAACATACAAAGACCTAGCTATTATCATTACAGGCTTCAAAACATTAAGGATCTGCATAAAGCTAGAACATTCAAGGCTGAAGATGCTACATGTAACAGCTGAAGTCTGAAGCAGGCCTTATTCTAGACCACCTGTCTACAATCAAGTCCAACTGTGGTGCAGTGAACAGGACTCAGCTGAAGTTAAGAGTTCAAAAGAATTTAGCTGGGTGTGCGGGGGGTTCACACTTGTGATCCCCGCACTCTGAGAGGCTGAGTTTAAGCCCAGCCAAGGCAATTTAAGAGACTGAGACCAAGTCTCAACACAGAAAAAAAAAAAAGCCTGAAGGTGTAGCTCAATGAAAAGATCTGTGTTCAATCCCCAGGACAGAAAAAATTTGTAATTGCACACCACCTTGTTCTTCAACATCCACTCCCCTATTAAGTCCTCTGATAATGGGAGGTCATGTGATAAAGCAAATAGAACAAAAGGCTGGTCATGGATTCTAGGTAGTGGGTATACAGGTACTGACTACACAGTTCTTTAGCTTCTCCATATTTGAAATTTTTCATATGAAGATGTTGGTGGAGCCAGTTGTGGTGTGCACCTGTCATCCCTGTATTCTGGGAGGCTAAGACAAAAGGATTGCAAGTTCAAGCCCAGCCTGGGCAACTTAAGAGAGATCCTGCCTCAAAATAAAAAAATATAAAAAGGGCTGGGGATGTAGCTCAATGTGAAGTCCCTGGGTTCAATCCCTAGTACTGAAAAAGGAAAAAAAAAAGTTGGTGGAAAACAATTTCTTTTGATGACAGGTAGTAACTGCACTAGTAGCAAAATTCCTGATAAAACATTTCCTTTCTAGGAAAACTGCAATTAGAAGATAGAGCTAAAAAAAAAAAAGAAGAAGAAGAAGAAGAAGAAGGTAGAGCTGCCTGATGATATAGAGGTGAAAAAGTAGGAAGTACTATTAGGCCACTAGGTTATATAAAAGAACCTTGTACAGGGTGGACTAAAGGTTTCAAGATTGGCATTCTAATACTCTTCCATGTAACTCAATCCCAAACTTTTACTAGTATTATCGTTTTAATTTTATTTATTTATGAATGGTGCTGGGGATCTAATCCAGGACTTTGCACGTTAGGCCAGTGTTCTACCACTGAGCTAGATTTCTCGGGCTTATCATTTAAAATTTTAAGAGCATTGTGTATAATTTTACCAACCAAGATCAGAGTTATACATTAAATTTGGAAGCCAGCTCAGAATTCAAATGCCTTTATAACATGTTAGAAATAAACACAGGTTCTGGCCAGGGATGCAGCTCAGTGGTGCCTCACCTGCCTGCCAAGAGTAAGGTCCTGAGTTTGATGGGGGGGGGGGGGACACAGGCAAGCATGCTGGTGCACACTTATAATTCCTGCACACTGGAGGCTGAGTCAAGAAGATGGAGACATTGAAGTCCAGCCTGGACAACTAAGTGACCCTATCTCAAAAAAAAAAAGAAAAAAGGAGGCTGAGGCAGGAGAAATGCAAATTCGAGACTAAATGGGGCAACTCAGTGAATTAGCAAGACCTTGTCTCAAAATAACTGTTTGGTTTTTTTTTTTTTTTTAAAGGGCCAGGCCCATAGCTCAGTGTGAAGGCCCTGGTTCCAATTCCCAGTACCAGGAAAAAGAAAAAATTGTTGGCTGGGGATAAAGCACAATGATAAAAGCATACGCCATTCTCAGCACCAATAATAATATATAAAAAGTTGTTTATAAATATTTGAATGGGAGACACTGTGCTAAGTAAAGAGACCATCTCAAAGCAGAGCTTCCTGGAAAAGTTACAGGCCCTGTGGTTCAGTCCCATAGTTTCTGAATAAAACAGTATTCCAACTATAGCTTCAGGAATATAGTTTACTGAATTAAAAGCAGAAAAATATTTTTGGTATGAAAAATTATATATACAGATTTTCACTACAGTACTGTTTGCTGTCATCCCTTTAAAAGACAGTTTAAATTTTCTGTAAAGGTATATTGCACTTAACGCTCACTCCTCGTCAACATCAATGTCAAATACAGTACTAAAAACCAGACTGAAAACTCAAGGCCAGGAACTGCGTTTCTATGTCTAGTACTCCTTCACCGAGCCTCACAGTAGTAGAAATGGTGACAGAGAACTTGCCTAACGTGTGTGATGCTGAGTTTGACCTCCAGCAATGCAAAAAAAAAAAAAAAAGAAACCAATAAGAATTCTAAGGCACTTTCTAAGCTCTCAGCAAAAGGCCAGCCACTTATAAAAGTCCAGCATGTTGTTTAATCTTGATTAACTTCCCCTTGAGGCACCTCACTTGGGGAATGAGTGAGATGGCCAGGGTTACCCTAAAGTAAGTGGTGCAGAGGGAATGTGAAAGGAGGGTCCAGGTGCCATGCAGGCATTCAACTAGTGTTTGACCAGGTACAAACACCAATCCAAGGCTAAGGACACACTCCCTGTGTGAGGCCCTGGATTGGATCCCCAGCTCTGCAAGAAAAAAGGAGAGGGTGCAAAACTAAATCTATCTCTTGTGTTTGCACATTTTAGTCTTAAAAATTTTCAAATGACATTACATACTGCAGTTGGATACTGAATTAGCGATTTAACTTAAAAAACAAAACAAAACAAAACACGAGTGCCAGGTGTGGTGGCCCATGCCAGTGATACCAGCACTTGGGAGGGGAGGCTGAGGCAGGAGGACTGCCGAGAGTTTGAGGCCAACCTGGGCTACACAGTGAGTCCAAGGCCAACCTGGACGGCATAGCAAGACCCTGTCTCAAAAATAAATAAAAATTAAAAAGTGAGTATGTAGTACTTCACATCCCAAGTATTGCTGATTCCAAATATTTAACTTTCAGAGGAAACTCAGATAACTTTAAATGTTTTTAAAATTAGTGCTTAGCTAATTTAGTACACAAAAAGATCAAAACTTTATTTAAACCAATTTACTGACTGACTACCGAACCAAATAACCATTTTCTCCAAGTGATAGTTTGCCTTTACAAGGTTAAAGTAGTAGTATACATACATATTCCTAAGTGAAACAATTTTTAGTTATGTAGAGCCACAAAGTTATTAATTTTTCACATTTGAGAAACGTGAAATGCTAACAAATGAGCATTTTACAAAAACCAGTTGTCTGTCTATATCTTTCTTGTATTTATGTTCACTACAGAAACTTTTTTTTCCCTTTTTTTCCTTTTTGTGGTACTGGGGACTGAAACCATGGAATTTTTATTTTGAGACAAGAGTCTCCCTAAATTGTCCACAGTGCTCAAACTGGCAATCCTTCTGCCTCAGCCTCCCAGCGTTTCCCAGATGTTTCCCAAAGAATTATCTAAATAAACTGAAAATCTATAAATGCATTTATAAGCATAAAAGCAAAATCTGTACTAATGACAAGTTTAAAAAAAATTAACCACAAATTAAGCTGTGCCAGAACTAACTCTTCCTTCAACTCTACTGAACTTGAAAATGTACCAGTTGCATTCTGAGTTTGCTAAAACTGATAATTCTCCCAGCTTCCCTGTTAACACTAACCTACACAAGCAATGGTAAAACGCTTAATTTTGCTCGGATTACAGTGAGATTCTTGTTTCTACGGGAGAAAAAAACTACATAAAACCAGTCTTGTCTTCCTCAAGGGCCTGTAACCATCATGGACAGGAATGAAAAGTCTTGAGTCACAAGGAGCCAGTTCGCCTACATTCATACCTAATGCGTTAAGCGAAGACGAATTTTGGGTTTTTGTTGTTTTTTAAATAACCACACCAAAGTAAAGAACAGCCACCGTCACACCGGGATCTTCACAGTTAGCATATCAAAAAGCTTCTCCACGCAAAGAGAAAATAATCACTTTTTAAAAACCTCAAAATCGCCGGGTGTGGTGGCGAAAACCTGAAATTCCAGCACTCTGGGAGGCTGAGGCAGGATCACAAATTCAACCCTAGGCCGGGCAACTTAACTTTGCGAGATTCTGCCTCAAAAAATAAAAAACTAGGGATGTTGGGTCAGTGCGAAGGTCGTGGGTTCAATCCCAGTACTACGGAGGGGGTGGGGTGAGGCCAAAGGGGCGAAGTGTAAGTCGAAGTAGCCTGGTCCTCCCATAAGTTTCGGGTCACCGAAGTGTCCCGTCCCAAACCCGCGTCCAATAGGATGGACTGGCCGCCCTGACCCTTGCAGCCCTCGGCGTGGGGCACTCAAGAGGCTTACTGCAGAAATTAAGAAGGGCCCCTTGTTCAAAATAACGGCAAAAACACCGGACACCCGCCTCCAGGACGTGCCAGCCAGCGCAGGGAGGCGGGCGGCGTCCGTCCAGGGAAGAAAGCGGGAGGGTGGAGTTCACTTTTCCCTCCGGCCGCGAGCGCCGAGCCTCCCCCACCCGAAGGCCAGAGCCAGCCCGCGCCGGCCCGAAGCGGGGAGCCCGGGCCCCCGAGGAGGAGGCCGGCGCGGGGCCTACGAGCCCGGGTCCCGCCCGCCCGGGCCCGCACTTACCCGTCTCCCACCACCACACACTTGATGGCCTGCATCTCGGCCGCTCGCTACGCCGCGGGCGGCCGGGCGCTGGGGTGAAAGTGGCGGGCTCGGGAAGCGGCGGGCGGGCGGGGCGCGGGGTGCCGGGACCGCTGTCCACGCCGCCTGGCCCTCCGCGGACTAGAAACCGAAGCCGGGCAGCGGCCACCACCCAAAGCTGGGGAAAACTGCAGAGAAACAGGAAATGGCCGCTCCACTCACATCCGGCCTCCCCCCTCCCAAACCCGCGCGCCGGCGCTGCGTCTCCCAGGCTCCGGGCGGGGCAGCTCCCGCCCTCCAGGTTTCCCGAGGTTCCGCTGGGTTTCCGGAGCGCTCGGGAGCACTCGGCTCGAGCCGCGGGGCGGGGCGGGGCGGCCGCCATCTTGGCGCGCTAAAGCGGCCTGGGCGTGGCCGGGCTCCGAGGTCCCCAGTCTCGGGGTCGGGGTTTGGCCATGGAGGAGAGCGAGGGTTTCTGGCAGTCCAATCCTTTTATCAGACTCACCGGGCTCGGCTGGAATTTGCAGTATTCCTGCTTCAGCCTTCCGGAGTGCTGAGATTATGCCTCGCTACCATCTTTTTTAAAAAATAATTTTTATGTAATAACTGTAGTTCATGCTATGACGTAAAATGCTCTTAGAAAATTCGAATTATAAAACTATAAGGAAGAAAAATGCCCATACAGCATAAATAAATGAAAATAGGCCGGCTGTGGTGCCCCACCGCCTGTAATCCCAGCACCTGGGAAGCTCAGGCAGGGGGATGACAAATTGAAGCCCAGCCTGGGCAATTTAGTAATTTAGAGAGATCTGTCTCAAAATTTAAAAATACTTTAAAAGGACTGGGGGTGTGAAGACTTTGGATTCTAGCCTCCGTACCAAAAGAAAAAAAAAAAGAAGGAAACGTGTCCAACCATCCTAATGATAACCATATAATAGAAGAGGAAAACATCCATGAAAATGTGCAAAGAAAATTTCCTAAACCTGAAGGACAGTTTACGGATGGAAAGTGCTTGCCCAGTGAATGGAACTAGAACCCAGGACAATGCAAACAGGTAAGATCCTACCAGCTTCTAAGGAGAAAACGCAAATCTTCAGGAAACAGGAAGTACAAACATCCCCGCTCTGGGCTCTGCTTACACTGGTAGGCAGTACCTTTAATGTTCTGAAGGAAAGTGATGTTCAGGCTAGAATGCTACACATAGCCAAACCGTTCATCAAGTAGGCGGGTAAAATAAGAACATTTTCAGACAAACAAGTTCTCAAAAGTTTTACCTCCCACATACCATATCCCAGAAAGCTTTTGGGACATATGTTCCTCCCGCAAGAGGAAATAAACCCAAAGAAGCTAGGAGAGGCGAAAACTGGAGATCCTGCAGAACACAAGAGAGAAAGAGGCCCCACTCATGGTGACTGTTGGGTGGGACCACACTGCAGGAGGGCAGCTTGGCAGCCTCAGCCACACAGGCCACTTCCTTCAAGATGGACAGCTGCGAATGAGGAAAGACGTACCAGCACTTTGACCCGTTCTGCTCTGGTGACCCGAGGTGAGAGAAAATAAGGATGAGACTGGTAAAGGCTTGTGTTCAGGATGTGACTGCTTATAGCAATGTCTCACCTTTCTTTTCCCCTCCATCTCCCCAGCATTTTATTATAAAAACCTTTGAAGTGGGATGTGGTACACACCTGTAATCCCAGCTACTCAGGAGAATGGCAGGTTCCAGGCCATCCTCAGCAATTTAGTGAGATGGTATTGCAAATTTTTTTTTAATGTTTAAAAAGGGGCTGGAGGCCTTGGGTTTAATTTGCAGTACAAAAAAAGGGAGCAGGGCTGGGAATGTAGCTTAGTGCAAGGTCCTGGGTTCCATCTCTAAAATGAAATAAACACAATTTTTGAATACACAGAAAAGTTGAAAGAAATATACAATAAATACCCAATATATCCGCCTGAATTCTGCAATGAACATTTTACTACTCTTTATCACAAACCTGTCCATGTATCCATTCAACAATTCATCTCATTTTTTGATCCTTTTCCAAAATTCAGGAAACCTGTACATTTCATCCTTAAATACTTCAGCATGCATATCATTCATTGTACTTCAGTTTTTACAGTTTCTTGTGCTTTTTTAAAGGTAAAAATAGACGATGAAATGTACAAATCTGAAGTTTACCATTCATTGAGTTTTCACAAATCTGCAATGCAAAAGCCCTGGAGAGGTAAAGACATGACCTTCCCTCAGCTTGTCCCTTCTCAATCTCTGACCCAGCCCTGGGGGAAACTGTTGTTGTGATCTTTCTCATAAGTTAGCTTGTCCTGTTCTAGAACTAAATATAAATGGGATTGTATAGACTCTTCAGTGTCTGACTTTGTCCTCTCAGCAGAGGGTCCTGCTAAATTGCTCAGCCTGGCCTTGAACTCATGATCCTCCTGCCTCAACCTCCAGAGTAGCTGGGATACAGGCATGTGTCACCATCCCTAACACATAAAGCTTTTGAGATTCATTCGTGTTGGGTGTATTCCTTTTTTTAATCAATGAGAAATAATCCATTGTAACAGATAGATCATGGTTTATTGATCTCTTGGTGACACCTATAGAATTTTTCAAACTTCTGCTATGATAAAAGTAAAACTCAAGAACAAATCTTTTTTTAGACAAATGAGTTCTTTTTTTTTAGTACCAGGGATCGAACTCGGGTCCTTGCGCTTGCGAAGCAGGTGTCGAAACCACTGAGCTAAATCCCCGGCCCTGACAAATGAGTTCATGTATCTATTGGGTAGGACCCTAGGAATGGAATGCCAGGTCATACAGTAGGTATGTAAAACTTTTTTCTCAAATGTCTATCCAGCTATAATCCCAACATTCCAGGAGGCTGAGGCAGGAGGATCGCAAATTCAACCAGTCTGGGAAATGTAACACAAATTTTTTTAAATATTTAAAAAATTTCAAAATTAAAAAAAAAAAGGCCAAGAATGTAGCTCAGTGGCGCTGCACCTGCCTGCCAAGCACACGGTCCTGAGTTCAATCCCCAGTACCAAAAGAAAAATAATAATAAATAATAAAAGACTGAGATTGTAGCTCAGTGTCAAGGTCCTGGGTTCAATCATCAGTACCACCAAAAAAAAAAAAAAAAAAAAAGAGGAAGAGGAAGAAGAAGAAAGCTCTTGCTGGCCCAAGGAAACTGACTACCTTCTCTTAATCACATGGGCCTTGTTGGTATTTGATACTGGAGACACAGCACAATGGATGGGGAACTGGAAAAGACCTGCTGCTACCAGCTGGCCCCAGCTCTCCACCATTGCTCTCTATAGCTTTGCTAAGTCACTAAGTCTTTTTGCTCATCTGTGCAGCAAAGAGAATGAACTTTGTGCTGTCAACTCTGTGGGTTCACAAGTCTAGCAAAGGCTATAAAGATGGTGAGGAAGCTGGATCTAGTGGCACATGCCTGTAATCCCAGCACTCTGATAAGCTGAGGGTTGCAAATTTGAGCCCAGCCTGGGCAGCTTAGTGATTTAGTGAGACCCTATCTCAAAATAAAAAATTAAAAAATGATTTATGGATGTAGCTCAGTTGAAGGCCTTGGGTTCAATCCCCACAACTGGGGGTAGGGGGGGGAGATAAACCACTCTCAATGACTTACTACTTTGTTTTTTGACTTTTGAATTAAGGTCCTACATACAGATTGTTAAAATATTAGCCAATAGAACAGAGCTTATAGAGAGACTTCAACCCCCTGCCCAGCCTCTCATTGAGTCTCCCTATCTCTAGGTCCTCCCTCAAGGGGCAACCACTTTTCAAACAGTGGTGAGGGACTGGTGTAGCTTAGTGGTAAAGCACTTACTTAGTAAATGGGAATCCCTGGGTTTCATCTCCAGCACTGAAAAATAAACATAATTTCAATTGTGAAATGTAACCAAAATAAAGGAGTATAAACAAAATGTACAGTTTAGGGGCAACCACTTTTGGGTTGAAGTTTGTTTTGTTTTGTTTTTGAGACGGGGGTCTCACAGTGTAGTTCAGGCTGGCCTTGGACTCACTATGTAGACCAGGCTGGCCTCAAACTCAAGGCGATCCTCCTGCCCCAGCCTCCAGAGTGCTGGGATTACAGGTGTGCGCCACAACGCCCGACTCGGGGGCAACCACTTTTCAACATGTCAGTTTTCTTATAGTGGTCTATCTTTATGCCTCCAAATAACAATCTTATACCATGATTTCTTTTACCCCCACCCCCACCCCCAGTAATGGGGATTGAATCCAGGGCCTTCACACTGAGCTACATCCTCAGCCTTTTATTTTGTTTTTTTGAAACAGGTCTCAGTAAATCACTAAATTTCCCAGGCTGGGCTTTAACTTGTGATTCTCCTGCTTGAACTCATGATCCTTCTGGCTCAGTCTCCTGAGTGCTAGGATTACAGGCATGTGCCACCATGCCTGGCTAATATGCCCCTATTTTTTCCTTGAGCAACTAGAAACTACCTCTTGGCTTTCTGTTGCAATAAAGGAAAATTTAAGTCACTGATACCACCATTCTTTTCTATTTGTTGTTTTGTTTTATTTTGAGACAATCTCTCAATAGTTCAGGCTGGCTTTGAACTCACTATGTAGTCTGGGCTGGCTTTGAACTCATGGTGATCCTCCTGCTTCAGCCTCCCAACTGCCGGGAGAACAGGCATGCACCACCATGCCTAGCAACCATTCTTTTTTATAGATCTCATTATTTGAGTTCTCAGTTACCGTTGAAACTTAAATAACATAATATTCCTCTCTTTAGCCACTGTCTCCCAAGTGAGATGAGGATAACTGCACGGGTTCAGCCAGGCTGAACTCCCCCTATGAACCAGTTCAGAAGACTTCTGAACCACATGTACATGCTTAGTACAGTCACAGCAGTGAACCTACTCCTGGTACAAATTTTCTGTCTTATCCACTTTCCCATTTCTAAATATTGACACCCACAAATTAAAGGAAGAGAAGTTATGTGCCTTCTTAGCACAGGTAGCAGTACATCAGCCTCATAAAGGAAGAGAAGTTTATGGCTGGGGGTTTAGCTCAGTGGAGAAGTTTATTTGGTTCATGGTTTCCCATGGGTTTAGGCCATGGTTGGCTGACTGCAAGGCAGAAATGGCACGGCAGATAACAGCTGCTTGCTGCATGGTAGCTGGGAAGTAGAGAAGGGAGAAACTGCGAATGGGAATACACCCTTCTAAGTCATGCCCCTAGTGTCCTGCCTCTTCCAATCAGGCCCCACCTCCAAATGGGAGACTTGTAGGGGACGTTAATTCTTTTTTTTTTTTTTTTTTT